TACCTTTTCTATGGCACCTACTTCCTAGCTATGTTAGTTGGATCAGTTAAGAACGCCTCACTTTTTTTCAAAAATTTACCTTGAATTTGATCGGTTTTGGCGTGTTTGATTTAGGCGAACCGATAAGGTGTCATTCAAGTCTCCCTGTTTCCTTGATTGAAACGTGATGTTTACGAAAGTCGCCTCGATAGATAAGATAGAGTTAATATACATGGCTGTGGTATTTGTTTTTGCTGAGTTCCGTAGTTTTTTGTATAGGTAATGGTCATAAACATGAAAACGAGCTAAGTTCAGTCCATATGTCATGACCTCCAGCCAAATATTTTCCCTTCATTCAATAAGTATATATTATCCTGTCTTGGTTATACTGCTTTCACTGTCTTATTTTGTGGTTGGACTGCAAATGATTTAATGGAACGCCAACGAAATATGATGAGTCGTGGAACTCTTAGACTTAAAATCTGAAAAGATTTTGATAGCATGATTTATGCTATCTGTGTGTTGAGGCGCGATTGCTAAAAGTGAAAAGAACCATCCAATTTCAATAAATTGACCACAAACGCCCTCGGCCAGTGTTTAGCCTAAAAACATGAACGCCTCAAAGGCTTTGGTTTTTTAACTGTTGGTCTGAAGCTGGCTGAATCAAACTGAGAGAATATGTCCAGAAACGAAAAATAACTTTTGCATGAAAACTGCCACATCGATCACAACATACACCCAAGTTATCTAGGTAAGTGGGTGTTAAAGGTTTAATAAAAATACGTAAACAGTTCAAAGGTTGCAGCTGCCGCTCAGAAGTGTTACTGGAGCAATATGGGTTAATTCAAAATGTTGCTGAACGTAATTTGTCGGATTTAATGGCAATTTTGCGTCAAATGTGTACAGGCTGTCGCTTAGAAGGGTTTGACCTTGCGAAAGTCAATAAACTTCTCTATTAACTGCCCAAAAAACTTATAAACGTAAATCGTGACTTCAAGTCATTTATTTACAACGTAGTACAGTGCAATTAGTTGTTTTCACTGTGTTTAGGGAGCGGATTTGTGCGCTTTCAAGGTGTCACTTATCGTTGAAAAGACCCCTTAATCTACGTCTTACGAATACAAAAAAACTTGACTGACTTCATTGTTGCGAATTGACGCCTAACCATTAATTCGCTAATCCCTTTGCTTAATTTTGTTCTATCGTTTGACAAAAGCACTTCCTTTTAGTTTTTAAAATTGCCGCTCGAAGGTCTCGAAGGCGCCAACAGTAGAGAAATGGATTGATGGATGAGTTGAGAAAAACTAAGGTATCTGCTAAGATCCACTCAATTTTCCAAAGTTCAACTGATATCGACATGCTAATAAACAAAGGTGTGTAACATAAAATCATTGCAATGAAATAAATAAAAGCGTTCTCAGCACCTTTCTTCGAGCGTTGGATTTCTTGATTCTTTCCAGAATTCAAACTTTCTACCGCTTTTTCTTGAATTTTTATCTGTATGTGATGTCGTCGGACGATGCAAAAAATTTTGACGTAAGAAACGGCGCAAGTGAAAAGAGAGATAAAAATAGAAACGGTGATAGTATATTCGTAGACAATTTTGTTGAGAAAAGCTGAACATGATAACAAGACGGCAATGATCCATAACGCTGTCAATAGATAAATGGCACGTCTTTGAGTCATTAGTAGTGGGTATCGCAAGTGAAGATGAAGAGCTAAAAGCCGATCCACTCCTATTGTTGTCATGGTGAATAGAGAGACACCACTTGCAATAAAACCCAATGTCCTCGTTGCCTCGAAAACAGAATAATTTCTCGATAGATATGAAGCAACGTAGAGTGGTTGAACTGCCAAGCTAACGAGAAGGTCAGACACAGCCAAACTGCATAGCATAATTGTGCTTGGCGAACGGAGTGAAGGTGTTTTCATTACAGCTACGAGCACAAAGGTGTTGCCAGACATGGTTACGAACATCAGGGGAACATTGAGGACACAGTTTAGCTCAACGATGGTTTTAAGACTGTCATTCTTCTCTAAAAAGTATCTCTCAAATTCACCAGCCATTTTAGCTCTCGTCTGCTCTCTTGTAGCAGTGTCCTGTTGTTAGTATTGCTCCAATGGACACGATCACAACTCCAGATGGAAGATATTGCCCCAAAGCTTCATAGGGCCCTTAAGATGTATTTCTGTCATGTTCACCTGCCACTTTGAGTCTATTTTTAATTGATGCACCCTCCTCTTATAGCATTGATCAATACTCAATCGTGCATGATTTCTGTAAACAGCACGCATACGTTTCCCTATTTGCGATAGAAGATTTCATTTGGCAATAAGACAAAATTTGACACGAAAGACATTTTCTAGTGAGACTTCAGTTCATTCGTAAATGTTCATTTCTATTTGCTCATCGATGACAATCTTCTTTCCGTAAACTCTTCTAAGCAGGCTTTTCACGCAGCAATTTGAATTCATTACTGGGGGCAGAGTTGGAAAAACAAAATAACTAATTGGCAGAACAATGGCTCAGCGCGTGCGTTTTAAAGTTGTGTAAATTTCTTAGCCGTTCTATGCAAAACAACAACGTGAAATCACTACAATTTGCGTCGTTTGCGAACCGAAACCGCGACTGCAAATTATTTTAATTTCCATTTGGAACTCTACGCTTCTTTTATACGTTATGCTGAAGTTGAGGTGTGGCGCGGTATTAGACGGTAAACACATGCAGCCATTTTTGAAGTTCTAATTTAAGGCAGAAATTCATTTTTCAATCGAAGTCTTCCTTGGCGCTGCCGTCCTGATTGCTTTAGGTCCGTAATCACGTAATGAAACCAATTGTACAAAATATGAATGCACACATTAGATGAAAGGAAGAAAATGTATTGCACATGGCGTCAGGTTTTTATCTATATTAGAACGACTTCTTAGGAAAAAAATATTTGCTTTATTTCCTCCAAGACCAAAAACACTTCCGAAACGCTTTTCAAATTTAATTACAAATCGGTTCTCTTCGTGTGTGAGAGAAATCTAAGTGAAATGGCGTTAAAAATTATCTTATATCTAAGCACACTACTTTATTCAGCTTTTTGTGAAATGTCTATAAATATGAGTTTTTCGTCTTTCCTTTTTCTCAGCTCCTATGGGGATTTACGTGAATGTGATTATTTCAAAAAGTGTCCATTGCAGTCAGGGGGAGCCCTGATTATTAACTGATGTCCAGGGTTGAACTCTCCTATGCGTTTCCGGTAACAACATCTTCAGTTGTTGACCTATCAGATAAAATTTAGCCCGCGAAACATTCCTTTGTAAATTGTAACTCTTTAACTCCCAGAGGTGATTAAAATGGAACTTCTCCCTATAATATCCATACATTATCCTGCAAATCCTGCAAACAGATATTGAGAAAACTACAATTTATCAGGTAGAAATTGTTATCTTGATCTTACACTAAATTTCATTACTGATTTGCAAGGAAATGTGTAGCTGCTGGAGGGGAGAGTTAGCAATCAGATCTTGGGTCAGCTGATGCCATCGAACGACGCAATCAATTTTTGTGTAGAAAATGGTGCAAGTGAAAAGGGAAAAAGCTATAGAAATAGAAATAGTGAACCATAAACATTCTTATCAATAACGCCTGAAGAAGATAACGAGACGGTGATAATCCAAAGGCCTGCCAATAGATAAACGACGCGCCTTTTGGTCATCAATTGCGGATATCGCAAGTGATAATGGATAGCTACAAAGCGATCCACGGCTACAGCTGTCATATTGAGGAGTGAGACACCTCTGGCAAAATAGCCAATGGTTCTTGTTGCCTCGAGAACAGCAAACGTTTTTGTTTGGTAAGAAGCGAAGTAAGCTGGTTGCACCATCAAGCGGACAAGAAGGTTAGACAGCCAGGCTGCAGAGCATTATCGTGCTCTGTGACCCGATCGAAGGTGTTCTTGACATAGCGACTAGCACGAGGGTGTTTCCAACGATAGTTATGAAAATCTGGGGAGCATTGAGGACGCAGTTGATGATGACGATGATTTCAGGACTTACATGAAAAGTATCTCTCGAGTCCACCAGCCATCCTTCGCTTTGTCACTTTTTTACCCTACTACCTTAAGATAGACACAATTTACATGCAAAAGTAATGGCTGTATTTATTATGTGTTTTTGACGTTTATGCTACCTATTCACCCTTTTTTCCCTTTCTTTGACATCCTCAGAGAAAAGCAAACTTAGGGCCTTACTTTTGTTCATCCAAAACCCGTTTTGAGCGCGTTGATGAGTACTGATTTACTTGATAACTGCGACTTGCCCACAAAAGTATCCTTGTAATTACATCACCATGAGGTAGGTTTTCGAAGTAGTAGCCTGAATTCACTGTAGGGAGTGGTATTGATCCTCGAGCCTCATCGCGAAACTAAAATGATTAATCGCCCGTCTAGCTAACCAGGGGAAAAAGCATGGCAGGTGGTTCCAAGAGATTTGAACTTAGACGGCTCCTCTGACAATTTCAATTCTTTTGTCTGTCAACATTATTAATAATTTCCTGAAACATCCTCTGAGTTTAATTACGAATCATTTCCTCAAATGAAAATCTGATCAGCAGGATGTTGTCTGAAAATATCCTCTTCCTTAAGCGCTCTTTGTTAGACTTTGGTTTAAGGGTGCATCACTGATTGCTCTTTATACAAATTTTGATTAAATCCTTAATGTTATTCTTTTTCAATTTTTATTGGGAGCTATATGAGCTATAATAATTTCTTAATCGTCAACTGGATAGATGATCAGGTCCGTGCGATCTTTGGAATCAATTCCGAATTGTAAACCCTCGCGCTTCCTAAAGCAGACCTCTCGGGAAATTAGTTCTATTTGCTTCATAATAAAGATGGTTTGAAAGCAAAGATCATGTTACAACTCGGAAACACTCTATTCATTTAAAGTGAACACTAGGGAATCAAACGTGGCGAGTCTGGGTTCCTTCGAAGTACTTTGCACGAAGCAAGGTGCATACGAAAAACGTGTCAATTGGAGAGGAGATTTTCCGAACGGATACGAGACTTTGGACGACGAAAACTTAAGTAGTTGTTAAAAGTTGCTGCATTGGTATACCTGTCTAATTTTCGAAATAATAATTGATCGAGACGAATTTAACAAAACAAAAGTTACACACTAAAAGCAATTCTCATCTCTCGGGAAATTATTGTCATACTGTGTCGACGTGTCAATTGGGAGATGATTATTAAGTTTACTTTTTCGTAGTTTGCTATTTTTTTTTCGCGACAATATGGTTCATTTTTTTCTTTTGGTGAATTAGTACAACATAACATTTCTTATGTTTTTCGTGTGGCTTACACAACATATAAACCACTCTATGTCATTGCCCGGGATATTTTTTCCGGGGTTTGTCACGGTGAACAGAGCGCTTGTCACTTGGTTTACTGAGCCACGTTCCCAGTCACTGGCGATAGTCGAGGATAGTTTGCAATAGTTACATAAGCCTCGGAGAGCGGCCATTTTGTATTTATGGATGTAATACGTTGTCGAAGATCGTTTTTTATCAAGCTATTCGTTCATCTTTGTTGCTTAGATTTCACACGGCGGCTTTCCTAGAGTCGGCTTGTCTTCTAAGTGCGGGTTACAGAGAGGTGTTGTACCCTCACAGGCCAGTATTTCACGGTGTGAACCTTTGGTACAGGTTGCACCACACTGAAACTTAGGAGTCATTTGAGTCTGCTTGGAAAATAATGGACATCAACGTCTTAACAGCGACAAAATAGGCTTTCGAATCAACAAAACTACGATTCTCCGAGGCGATGCAAATTAGGGCCATGCAAGGCCTTGCGCTAATTTGAAGATTCCGAGGCCCCATAAATATTTTGTTTGAGTAATGAGATGTCCAAAATGTATTTTTCAATCGGGAGATTTTGTGTCAAAATGTAGAACTTTCAGAATTTTCAACTTAACGCTGCGCAATTGTCTGGCCATGAAATCAAGTAAACAACGATCCAAGCAGACTGAATTCTACTTCGTGGGTTTCGTACACTCAAGAAATTTGTACGTTTTTCGCTTCAAACAGCAAAGCAAGAACTGTTTTGAATAACGCTTACGTCCCGAAATATTTCTTGGCAAATTTGGTCTTGGCTCCTATTTATAGATTTCATTTAACATGCAATCTCTTCACACACGGACGAATTTGCATATTCACTTTTAAATTCGATCTGCAAACCTGTTTGCTCACGTGCAAAAATAATTACTGATTCTTATCTTTTATCTTGGTTATAGAGTAAAAACTTGAAATGCATCTATCGCTTTTTTTCCTTGAAAATAAGTTATTGAAATGGTCTTCTTTCACTGGCGCTTTTTTTTGGAAAAATATGATTTATAAAAATTTTAACTTTAGCATAGGCACATGTTACGCTTAAGTGTCAACGGGTGCTGAAGTGCTGGTGGACATCGAGCAAAAAAATATTCATATAAATTGGTTCCCTGGAGTTAATTTCACATCTGTTGCCTTGAAAAAGACAATCTAAACCTACCAAACTTCAGAACTCAATTCGTCTTGGTTACGTAAATAAAATCAGGACTGAGTCTATCAGGCCACTGTGAGAGATGAGGTTGAATTCCTAAATCCTCACTTTCAAAGCAAGACTACATCTGTAAAATGCAACTTCTATAACAAAGATTGACTTATAACCCTCAACTTGAAAATAAGGATTTCAGGAACTCCGATATGGTCTACGGTATGCTAGTTATCTTGTTTTATTGTTTGTCAGAAACAATACAGAAAACTATCTAGCCGTGATCACAAATTAGCTCTACTAAGAGAAAGTCAGTGAGAGACCAGATACGTATAATTTTGTCAGCTTCCCATCGTTACAGCTAAATTTCGATAGGATATTAAAAATAACGACCGATCTGTTAATGTTATTGTCGAATTTTCTTGATATAATGACGCTTCCCCAGAATGGATCATAGAAGATGAAAACTCAGTGGATATGAGACAGAAGTAACTCATCACAGAAACATGGTCCAGTGATGAGCAGGATGCCTTTGTCTTTGATATGTTAAGATAAAGAATCGATTTGACTTGCGACCGATTTTAACGACGAGTGCATTTAAGTTAATTAGCCAAAAATTCAAGCTGTGCATTTGGAAACTCCTCTTTTCCTCGACGTATACCATGGGAAACCAGCTTGATAAAATTAATAAACTGACCGCAAGGAAGCCCTGATTAATAAAGTAGTCTACCGAATACAATAAGAATAAAAATATAATAGGAATGTTTTGGACGACTATTACTACTATTACTAATGCTATTTACCTTTTACACATAATACCATTAGAGTGAAAATACTTCGATGTCTCTTTCATCTTTGTGTTTATACACGAAGCCAGTTTAATCGACGCGTGAAATCATTTTGCCCTTTATTCACGCCACCCAAAAGTGGCAAACTCAGTAAGTAGTAAAGCATATACCGATGCAGCGACACAAAAGACCGCTAAATCTTACAAATTAGAGCTAAATCTTACAAATTAGAGAAGTTTGCTTTGCATCTTTATAGTTGTTAGACTCATTAATTTTACTTGCAAGATATCTGCTTTGCCATGTTTACAACTGCCTCTCGAAGCTCGCGGAGACGCCAACAGTATAGAAACGGGTTGATTGATGAGTTCATGAACAGCAAAGTGTCGGCCACGATCCATTCCATTGGCCATCTGTAAGTTGGGGAAATCGCTACAACTAACCAAGTAACTGATAGAGGTGTATAACACATTATCAGTACAATGTAAAAGATAAAAGTGTTTTTTGCCGTATTTCTCGACTCTCGCATGTTATGATTATTTCCATTGATACTACCTGCTACTGCCCTTTGTTGGACCATGATCTGAAGCTGATGTCGGCGAACAATAAAATAAATTCTTACGTAACAAGCCAGGCAGGTCAATAGGCAAGTGGCGGTGCTAACAGCCACAGTCACGGCAAAGACATGGTTTTCCAATAGCGTTAAGAATAGAAAGATAAAAGCAACAATCCAAAGAGTTGTCGAAAGGTAAACTGCACGACGAGTTGTCACCAACTGCACGTATCTCAGGTGATAGTGAAGAGCTATGCATCGATCCACGGCTATTGCACCCATTGTCCACAGAGAAACACCACATGCCACGAAGCTCGTTGCTGTCATTGCTTTGTAGAAATTGGAGCTCTTTGTTAAGTGATAAACGATAAAACTTGGTTGTACTAGGATTCCAACAAAAAGATCGGAAACAGCTAGACAGCAGAGCAAAATTATGCTCGGTGAACGAAGCGAAGGGGATCTCAATATAGCAACTAGAACCAGAGTGTTACCAGTTATGGATATAGGAATAAGGAAAGCATTGAAAATACAATGAATGATTTCGACAGTCCATAGACTAGAATCACCATCGTTGTTTTCAAAGTGCTTTGTTTGATTTGTCGTCGCCATACCTGTTTTTGCGATCTAATATTCTTTCCTTTCTGCTGTAAGTAATTCACCTCAATGGTTATCGTTGGCAAATGCACCAAAAGCCACAAATCTCAACACATACGCTGGTACTTCAGCGCTTGACATCATCAAAGAACTCTTTTGATGATCCAGCATCAGTTGGCGGAGTGTCGATCTTTTTTCTGACGAGTAATTAGCATAAAAATCTTCCTAAATGTTATAGTTTTATTATTTTCCCTTATTTCTTTCTTTGATTTACGCTACGTGCAACACTGTGCTGTCAAGTCGCCATCTGAAACTTATTAAAAACAACCTGTTTTTATATCAACACAGCCTTACTAACGCGTGTTTACAAGATACTTACGCTTAAAAAAACACTCTGTTCATTTGCTGCGGCGAATATGCGTCGGTGGAACATCCATAGGGTATAAGTGAATATCAAATACAGCCTTAGGTGATAATTGCTGATGAAAAATCCAACTATGAGGTCTATTCAGGCTTTGTGTAAAACGACGGTAATTAAGAACCCTTTGACGTAAAGCTGTTTTTCTTTTCTTTTCATTTTTTTCTCATACTCTCTCTCAAATGGCACTATTTTGTAAGAAGCAAACAAAAAACAAAAAAAAACGAGCAAAACATCATTTTGAGCTGGATTGACATATCAGTGGAAGTAATAAAAAAATTGTTCATAACACAATTACATATGAATTATAATTTTATATTCAAGATAAAGTGGCAGCGATGCGTGCGTATTTATATATAGTATGTATCCCATTAGTAATTCCTAGTTTCCTCCTTAATTAAGGCTCGTCGGTAGATTTCTTCGCGAGAAAAACGTAGTAGGAAATGGAAATACGTTGCTGGTGGAATATTACGTAAGTTCTCTGACGAGCAGGATAATTAATGACGCTGATAGACGATAACAGTGGTTATAAAGATGGCAGTAACTATTTACTTCTATGCTTCTACTCATATAATTCAATTGATATGAGTTTGAATTTAAAGTATTGAACATTCTTTCTTGTGGTTAGTTTGGTAGCAGGTCAACGTGGAACCAACTTGCGACTAGCCTTAGCTTAAAGCTATGGTGCTTCCTGAACCCAGCTTGAAATATTCCCACACTGCTGTAGTCTTTATTCAAGATACATTAAACAGGGATGGACAGATGTTTTTTCCTTTTTTTTTAATTTTTTTTTTACCTGAGACAACTTTAAACTGATTTAATAACTTTTTTAAATAAATATGTTGAACGATATTCGATTGATTTCGTAGACTGTGTTTAGGTCAGGTTTAAAAGGGAATTATCGATAACGGAATATTTTAAACTTTAGTAATGTATTTACAACTGCTCCCTTAGTACAGTCTCCTAAGGGGTTTCATGAGGATTCTGTTTTTGCAGTTTAGAATATTTCTATTCTTTGGCTCGCTACCTTTTAATTGATAACTGTATACTCTCAATGACTGGGATTCCTTTTATCCCAAACCTTGTCTCAATTTTGTCTTGAAATCTTGAGATATCGTGACTCAATAATCGGTGAAAGGTTTTGGCGAAAACTAGTTTACTCTGTTTGCAGCCGTAACATCTGTTTAGTTGTCTTAACAACTGCCTTTCGAAGTTCACGAAGTCGCCAGCAGTATAGGAAAGGATTGATGGATGAGTTCATAAACGCTATGGTCTCCGCTAAAGAAAACTCGTCTCTCCAGTATTGACGGAAAAAAGCGGAGACAAACATAGAAAGAAACAGTGGTGTGTAACATAATATCATCATCATGTAATAAATAAAAGTGTTTTTGGCACTTTTAGTCGATCTCACGATGTTCAATTCATGTCCATCTGCGTCTTTTGAAGTTTCCTTCGCCACTTGTTTAGCTTGAATCGCGATCTGTAACTGATGCCGGCGAACAATGCGATATATTTTCATATAGCATATCGTACAAATCAGTAGGCAAACAATTATAGAGGCAACTATAGTAAAATGGAAAATATTCATTTGCCAGAGGGTCGAAAGGGATAACACCACACAGATTAACCAAAGCGCCACAGATGTACAAATAGCGCGATTTAAAGTCATAACATATGAATAACGCATGTGAAAGTGAAGAGCCATTAGTCGGTCCACGCTAATAACTGTTATGGATGAAAGTGAAGCACCACACACAGAAAACGCTACTGTCTCCATTATCTGACTCAGAGATCTCTCTCTGGTTATTTCCCTGGCAATGTAAAGTGGTTGAGCTAAAAAACCAACCAGAAGATCAGAAAGGGTCAAGTTGCACAGAAGAATTATGGACGCTGAACGAAGCGAAGGAGTCCTCAACGTAGCCACCAGCACCAGTGCATTACCGATAATTGCCATGAACATCAGCGGCACATTTAAGGCGACGTTTACGATGTTTAAGGTCTCAGATGTGTTGGGAGTATTCGTCCTTGTTTCGTCTACCATTTTGGCCCATATGCTTTTGTTTTGGAGTATCGGGGTGCGTCGATTTGAGTTGTGTATTTGAACAGAATTTTAATTTAACTTCAAAATCGGCTTGTCTTCGCGTAACTTAATTAAGCGAAGAAAAGCCAATTTTGAAGGTTGATGCCAATATATTGGCAGCTGATACCAGTTTTATGCGAGAGATGAAAGCAGATTGGCTCTTATGTACAATCCCCCGGGTAGATTGTGAAATACTGAGACCCACGCATGGGATTAGACACGGAGTTGGCAAAAATTAATATCGTCAATGATTTTTTTACGCCGAAAATATCACTTTTATTCGGTGAGTATCGTTGTATCGTTCGTAAAGTATCGTGAGCAGAAACTGACCATAAGCAGTTGCTTAGGTACTCAACTAACGTTGTTCTATGTGTTATTAAGCATAGGATGTAAAAGTTCGATGTGTAAAACAGACCCATGCTGTCTATGTAATATCATACTGAATAAGAGAAAGTTAAGAAAGGAACATACATGAATATATTGTCAGAAATTGTCAGGCGTGTTTCTCCTTACGCATAATTTCCGCTTGCTTGCTATTATTGGTACAGGTCGAAAATAAGTGTATAATTTGCGATGTGTAAAGAGGCTAGTTAGTCAGCTTAGGTTGTAACAACTCTTTGTTGAATTCAACCATGTCATCAGATATGCGTAGGAGTTTTTAAAACCTCAGCTCATACAATGCTCCAGCTCGTTAACCATTTTCAAAGGTTTGATTGTCTTTTCAAAAGATATTTTTTTCACCCTGTCGGTTGAGACTGGAACAATACAAAGCCATCTGTGACGGAAGTCCAGTTTTTTTCTTTTAAAGCACTTGCTGGGTTTTAAATTGATTTAATAATTTATAATTTTAAAATGACTTACACAATCAAGTTTTATTATTTTATCAATATCGCTTGCTGGGTATGCAATTACTTTGGTCATTCAAACGATTTTACGATCACATCAATCATTCAAAAAAAATTTCACCTGCGGATTGAAAGCCCCCGAAATATTATAATTTTTTGGCCATTTAAATCGATTGCGTAAGAGATAGTTTCCGCTTACTCAAAAAAACATAAGCTATTCCAACGCCTACGCGCGATCTAGGGTAGGTAATGCTAGATTTAAGTAGGCCTGCCATAAGAAAGAAGCAACTTTGCAATCAAAGCATTGTTGAAGTTTCAGGATGCAAGAATAGTCCTTTAAAGTGCACCTCAGTGTATTCTCAGACCGGCTGTGAGGAAACCCCCCCCCCCCCCATGTTTACTGATTTGTTGCATTGCCCCGAAAAGTCGTTCAAGGTAAACTGATCCAATAAAGATAAAAGATATCAGAAAACGTAGCTTCAAGAACCTTTAATTACTTTTTGTACATTTTTATTAGGCATATTCTCAATTTTGAAAAGGTAAAGGTAATATGACTGAGTGGAGTCCAATTTGGTCTGTAATCATACGAGTGATGACAACATCAGACGACCGTGCAGTGGGAGTCCGAGCTATGTGTTGATGGGACACATCCACACTGTTTCTGGAGATATCAATGCTAAACTTAATTCGAAACGTTTTCATGACCCGTTTCTCTTTTATTGTCTTCTGAATGCAAATGAAATCACGCTTTGAAATATATTTTTTTTTTGCATCAAGGTTTTGAAATAAGAGTTATCTGGAAAAAACTTGCTCGGGTAAAGATCCTGAGGAGCCACGGGGGAAAAGCTCTCTTTCAATCCAAATATATATATTTTTTTTCTTTTTCAAATTACTAGCATTAAACATCTGGAAATTTTCATTCAAGTCAAGCGATAGATATAGGATAAATCACTCAGGGTTTTAATCAAAATCTTACGGATGATGTCTTGGTTATCTTTAAGAGGTTTTCTAGACTTCATTACTCTTTTTTTTTTGCAACACATGTAGATATTTTTCCCCCATTGTAGTTTATTATCGTGTATTTACTATCATGGTATATTACGACAGAATAGCCTCGTATAGGGGAGCCGTAATAATAAAATGTATTTGTATTATGTTAAATATTTCATGGTTATACTGCAATAAAAATCTAAATTCGAGTTTCTCTTGTGTAAACCTCGACATTAAAACAAGATGTCTTGTCAGTGGTGGTTCATAATCTGGTTGCTGAACACAAACAGCCTTATGTCTTCATGTACCGGTGTCTCTGCTACAATGAGTCAGCAATTTTCATTAAGCCTACCAGTTCTCCTCCATCTGTTGACTTGAGATTCACTGTAATATCTTTAAAACTGCCACCCGGAGCTCGCGAAGGCGCCAACAGTATAGGAAGGGATTGATGGCTGAGTTCATGAACACGATCGTTTCTGTGAAGATCCATGCATTTGTCCACAGATCGGGGAAAACGGAAATTATTGCCTTGGTGATAAACATCGGCAAATAACAAAGAACCATAGTAATGAAATAGATAAAAGTGTTTTTGGCACTTTTGGTTGATTTCTTCACGGTATGATTATATTCAGCATTTAATACCGCTTGTTGTTGGGTTTGAATCTGTAACTGATGCTGACGAACAATACGATAAATGTCAATGTAACAAGCACTGCAAGTCATAAGGCAAAGGATGATACAGAGAGCAATGGCTAGGAAGTAGGTGAGATCGCTCAGATGATGCGAGAAGGATAGCAACACCGCGATGATCCAAAGAGTTACCATTAGGTACCTGGCGCGACTTTTTGTCATCAGTTGCGGGTATCGCATGTGATAGTGAAGAGATAAGGAACGATCAACTGCTATGGCTGTCATAGTGAAGAGGGAGACACCGCTAGCTGCAAAGGCTAAGGTAGCCATAGTTGTCTGCAGATAAGTCATCCCAGTTGCGGCATTTGCAATGTAAACCGGTTGTACAACCACGCCAACGAGAAGATCTGAAAGGGCCAAACTGTAGAGGAAAACTGTGCTTGAAGAAGAAATAGATGAAGTAGATGATGTTTTTAGAATGGCAGCCAGCACCAAGATGTTTCCAAAGATGGACAAGAGCATTAGTGGAACATTGAGGACACAATTTATGACAACGATAGTCTCAAGACGAGTGAAATCGTTTTCGGGTTTGCTTGAATAATTACTTACAAATTTACTTTCCATTTTCACACCTGCAGCCTGGTTCTTTAAATCTGTGCAATCACTTTTTATATAGCTTTAACCGGAAGAATACAGTCCAAAAAGTGTTTCCGCCGGTCTGAGAAAACACTGAGGTGCACTTTATAAGACTATTCTTGCATCTTGAATCTTCAACAGTGCCTTGATTGCAAAGTTGCTTGTTTCTCATGGCAGGCCCACTTAAATCTAGCATTATCTACCCTAGATCGCGCGTAGGCGTTGAAATAGCTTTTGTTTTTTTTAGTAAGAGGAAACTATCTCTTACGCAATATACGATCTAAATGGCCAAAAAAATCATGAACGTATCAATTGTCAAGCCTAAAAGCAAACTGCTGACTGGCATAAATCAAAGTTTTTTTTTTCCGCATTGGCTTATTAAAAAAGAGACCGAAATGATGATTGGTAAGGTTGCTAAGCAATTTTTTTCAAGCAAAAAAGAGTAAGAAGAACTCAAATTGGTCTCTCAACGGGTGTTGTGCGTCAGATCTTGGAGTTATTCTGCAATAGCTGATAATGGGATTAGAATTTATTTGACGAGGGATTATTCAATATCTGACGCTGAGTCCTTTGAGGATATTTGCTTTAGTGCAACTAATCTAATTATTTTCAGCGCTACTGCAATTTCTTTCATTCAAGTCCACATAATGACCCCTTTAAGCATTGGTGCTCCAATTTTCTAATTGTGACGTGCGGCATGTGTATGTCCATAATCCCTTGAGTTGTTTGACCAAGATGAATCAACAAATTTCTACTTGGGCCTGAAGCTAATTTCCTTTCCGTTTGCGATCAAATTGTTTAATGCGCATTGACGCAAAACGCAAAGATGTCCTGTTGATGTGCTATAATTTCATTTCTTAGAGGTGATATGTGAACAACAGGATACATCAGAGAGACGTGACAGTGTCAGAAATGTCAAAATCATGTCGTGAAGCTTTTTCCTCCTTCACTTGATAGGAACCTCAGGGGAAAAACGTCTTGGAGTAATTTGATGTCTGTCATACAACGCAGCAATTTACAATTGTGGTAGCCTTGAAAAGTGTTGGCGCCGCTATTAAAAGGCATGACGTGAAACGGTACCATGGCTTATAGTATATATCGTTTAACACAAACTCATCACGCTTTGATTTATGTTACTGTCTTTCACAACTCAGAGGCTTAATTTCTATTGACCAATAGTAAAAAGAAGCTCTATTAATCACTACTCACATAGCATTATACTTTCCTGTGCTTTATTGGAAGTTCTGGATGGGGACATCTTATCTAACTGTATCACGTCATGCCCTATAAGTGAGCAGTGACAAGCTTAAAGTAAATCCTCGGTGCCTCTCTACACGACCTTGAGCTAGTTTCTAAGCCGCGCTAAAACACCGAGAGGCGTTACATTTTTGCAATCTATTTTTTAGCGTCTTCATGGTAGTCAAGCAGGATTGATCCCCTCGCCGCGTAACCGTCAAAGAAACGAGACCGGGGATGGCCTGGCAGGAAGGTTTTTACGTCTTTTAATTTTCATCTCATCCCTTGGATACTTTTTATAATATCTCAGATGAATGAAAACCAATATCTTGTTTCATTTATGTGTTTATCTTTAGAGACAGTGGCATTCACATTTGAACGTCGGATATGACCTCAACGTGGCAAAGAACTCATTAAATGAGCGTACTCAATGAAGGCAGCCAAAAACTTGTCGAGGTCTCAGTGAAAAACAGTGCCATTGCACACTGGATTTTTTGGCAGCCGACATATGTGCAAAGTATCACAGGACGGAAATCAAAATTCCGGTTACGAATGCACAAAGAAAATCTTGAATAAACAATTTTGTTGAACTACCGACTGGAACGTATGACATAACTCGTTGATTTTATGCAAGTGGCGAAGGCTTATTCATCGGGTCTTACTTGTTGCCCGTGCATAATCTCTTCTTCAACCTGAGCTTGGTATGAATGCTGAGTAGAGCAACATGCAGGCTACCTGAAAGGTAGGGGAAGATTTATGTGTAACTCCATACATGTACTATTTAAAAAAAAAGACTCAGTCTTAGAGGTAATCTATTTTTTCGCCATTGTTTTGATTTATAAACAAACCGCATATAATGGAGTATGGCATTAGACTGAAATCTTGTTTAATTAAGAGTCTCTTTATCAATTCATGAATAAATTCTTTAGACAGTTTTGAAATACACCCAAATACACTGAAGCCTTTCTTTTTCTTGCCGTTTCCGTGAAGGTGTTTGTTTGGACCTAGTGATTTGGGTATGCTCTTTTGTCTTAATTCCTCGGTCATCTCGATAGCGAGACTTGGCTTTTTTGATGGGTGCAAAACCATTCTTGATCGATTCTGCTCAATTACTTGCACGTATCATTGTATTAAATCGCATGCTAACATCAATCGTTATTCATTATACCACGAAGCTCTTTCACTCTACCGTCGATGGCATCAATTCCACTACGCTTTGTTTACTTTTTTCTGCCAATTCATAAGCTTAGAGAATATATATAATTGTTCAAAATCAAAATAAAATCTTCGATTGGATAAATCGATAGAAAGAGCGATCTAACATTTTTTTGAAGTAAACTTATAATATTAGTATTTTTTATTTTTCATGCAAAAAGGACAAGTGCGAAACATTCGAATGTGTCAAGATTGTTCTTTAATTACTTTCAAGTTCCATGACAACAGATTTAAGGTAAAAAAAGGAAACTATGACAACAGTATATCTTAGCCAAAAATTTCCACGATATTTACCTTTTCTTTATGGAAAATTTATATTTTTTGGATGAAGTCAGTTTAAAACTTATCCTTTCGTTATGAGATGAGGTTTCAGCGCTCGTTATCGAAAAAACGTTGCTTTCTGTTGCTGGCGTTTTTCGCTGCCGTTACAGTGTTAGTTCAAAATGCCATCGTCATTCTAGTGTCGTTTTGTAACAACAATTTTTGTTATTTGAGGCTCGGAAACTTTGAAAGCCGTCATTCAAGAATGATTGGTAAGATTTTGTTATACACTTATTATGTTTGTTAACCTATGTAGATTTTTTTTTAAATCAGCACTGATGGGTAAAAATGGTTATCAAAAGATATCTTAAGTGTACATATCTGCCAGTAATACATTTCTGAAATTTTGTGAGAGACACGGTCGCCTTGCCGTTAATGCATTGTTTTTTATTATAAAAGGGTTTCTAATCCTCCCCCCCCCCACCCTCATTTTGTCACGTATCCTTAAGAATATTCTCCAATAACAATTAAAACTCCTGTTTGAGGAGGAGAGAGGCACAGCCAAGCTTTCCTGAAGACACGAATTTTTGTCCATCGTTGCACACTTACGGGGACATTCATATGAAAATACACCAGCAAAGTGGGGTCTGTTCAAATTATAGGGACATTTTCGCGTACCCAGAAAAAAGTCTTATTTAATAGGTAGTCTTTTAAAAATAAATCGTCATAATGAGTACTTCTTTTTGTGTGTAAGTGTGTGTATGTGCTTTGTTTTGCTTTTACTTTGTTTCGTTTTGTTTTGTTCTGTTATTTTGGTATAAATGTTTTTCTACATTTTCTGCTGCGATTTTTTGAGAGACACGGTGACCCTGCCGTTAGCGTGGTGTTTATGATAAACGGTAGGTTTCTTATCCTCCCCCCTTCCTGTTTGTTATTGTTTGTTTGTTTGTTTTTCTTTTTTTTGTATGAATGTTTCCTATATTTTCCTTTTTAAGGAACTTTTACTTAAAAAAAAAAAAAAAAATTAATCAAGTAGTCTGCTTCCGTCAGGTTTGCATATAATGGCAAGTATAACACCACAATTGTACTCTGTACTTTTATTTATTTCACCAGAAGGATTTTTTTTCTCTTCAAGTTTATATATTGGCAATTTTTCACCAGACCTCTTTGCAAGAAATAAAAGTCCAGGAGTTATAGAAAGACTGGATAGCCGTTTACAAGTTGACTCTACCGTAAAAACTGTCGGTTGGCTGCCTGAGGAAGATTGTGAGTATGGAATACAGACATTTTTTTGTCATATTCACTACGAAATTCTGGAATCACGCTGACTGACATGTGAGTATTTATGCCTATTGCGCGCCAATTTTTTCGTTCTTTCTTTCTCTTAAGCCGAAAAACCTAACAAATGTGAAATTCCTGAAGATTCAAGATTTCCCCTATGTTCTTTTAAAGTAAAGGTACGTTTTCAAAAAGATATTTTACGGGAAAACGATTTAATTAACTAATTTTGTATATTTCCTAAAGAAAGTTATTTCATGATTTCTCTACTGTGTATTATCTTTTAGTCTTTCCCTGATTCATGGAATCCTAAATGCCACGATGGAAAACATAAGGTGAATCTGGATGATAGCTGTTCTGTGATTCAATATCTCAGTGAGGTTAGTAAATTACCGATCACAAATTACTTGTAAAACTACTTCATGATTCAATGGATGCTTCGAATTTATATATTCACAAGCTAACCACGCAAATGAGAATTATCAATATTTTGCCTTTTCTATGATGTTGTATGTTTTTGCTTTCTTGTAACACTTAGGTCGAAGCATGGTGTCCAGTTTTGCCATGGCGACAAGACATGGATCCCTTCAAATCATCAGTTAATCAATCAAAGGTTTGTGCAAGGCTCACGGCAAAATCTGGTAACAATTCATATAAATAGAAATTTTGTTCTTTGAATTATTGTCATGGCAACTTCCTTTTGCTAAAACTAACGCTGAAAATGACTCCTATTTCTTAATCTCTTGAAGCCTCTTGACAAAATATATATCTTTGTAAAACAATTAAAACTTTTTGTTAGTAGACTCTGTTCACTTACAGAATACGTACTGTTCTAGGCAAAGATTCGCACAGATGTATCGGGATTACTAAAGCAACTTACTGATGACCGTTATGCCTGGATGAGAATTCGCATCACCGAAACATGGCCGCAATGGATAGAAGCCGTCAAAGAGCTTGCTATCAGGCAGGGCATATCAGAGAGGAAAAAGAAAAAGGTGATAATATTTTAACTTAATTTTGGTAACTTTCAGATATTTTTCTGGAAACAACCATTCTTCCGCTATTGTTCTCGTGCTTGGTAAACAGCGATTTTTTTTCTTCTTCAGATCGCTCTTTATATGGGAAGCTTAGAATTCAATTTTAAGATCTTTATGGAGGCCTTCAATGGTGGCGTTCTGGGAGAACTCAGCCAGTGGAGTGACGTCATGAGTGTTCTGTACATATTAGGACATGATTTGGTAATCACGTCGGACAAAAAAGACTTGCCAAAGTAAGTGCGTGAGTGCTCTTCGACTTCTACTTTACAAGCATCAAGAGGACAGGGCTCATGTTATGCAACTCTTAGAGAATACGGGACGTGATGAAGGGAAAGAGACAGCGGTAACGGAACAGTTATTGGAAATTACCGGAATTCGTTCTCTCATAAATGCTGCAGTCTGATTAGAAACGCTTTTCGCCATCTGTTCCATGATGTATAGTGGGTAGAGTGAGTAGCCCAACGGAGTGTGATGGTTAAATAAAAAGTGCAATGGAAAAAAAACATGCCTCAATTTAAGTTTTGAACGATTAGCACATTCGTATCTAAACAATTATATTATTCGGAATCGCCTATGGCTAATTTATTTCGGTATTTTATACCGAGAGAGGTTGCAGTTTATCCATTTCAATTCAAGAGTCTTAGTTTTAAAGATAAAAATGATTTTTGTGTAGATAGGAAGTAGGAAAATGTAAACGTTAGTGGTCTGTCTTTCTCTCCTCCTTAAACTTTGTGACCTTCTTTTTGCAGTATCATCACACCTCCTGACTCGGACGGCTGTGCTTCCAGGAAACTGAACGACAGTTTGGATCTGATATTCACTGATATCATAGGGGTTGAAAAATTGCGTGATGCTAGTGGAGCACATCAATCTCGATACAGGTTAGACACGCTGGCTTAGGACGTTTCCTTTTCGATTTTACTTAAAAAATGTTTAGATTACAGACGTTAAACTATGCATGGCTCAGTGTAAATTTACACGGAGTTTATCATCACCGCAAAGCTTTCAGCTCATCACAATTTACGTTAATTCTTGATGTTTTGCGGGTCATTGAAAATTGTCATTAGAATAGATAGAGATATTTAGAGACAGAATAAAAAAAATGAAAAATAAAAAAAAAACAAACAAAAAACAAAAAAAAAAGTACGAAATTTAAACTTCTGGCCGACAACCCGAATCTCGACAAGGATTGGCCGGTAAGAGGGCTGGGTTTGCTCGACTACTATCTACTATTTCACGTAAGCGCTTACAAACACGTGATCCTCCACGGTCAATCTGCCTCGATTAAAAAGCAACATGGGGTCGTATAAGGAGGCCTCGGGGTTTTCAAAGGCTAATAGGATACTAGTGTGGCCAAGAATGGAAAACATTAGTATTGCAAATGACAATCTAATATATTTCGAGTTGAGCGTGCTTTCTCTGTGTAAGGATCTGTTACACTAAAAGGCGCGTACAGTAAGTACAAAAACAATAGAGATAACGCATAGCAGGTATTTCAGAGGAAAGCTTCATTTTTTTGCGTTCCAGAAATGTTCTAATAAAATAAAGTCTCTCGCGACAAAATCAAAATATCGCGAGATAAATGGGAAATTGTTAGGACGCACATGATGAGTTGTCACGCACGTTGTTTCTGTGGACGAGACGACAATGGTTGCAACAGTTGGAAATTTTTTCTTGACGGGGTTGGCAATGCAGAAGTCACATCTAGAAATTTATAAATCTGCAAAGTAATCACAAAGATTAGATAATCCACACTTGCTCTCAGACGCTGACAGCCATCTCTGAACATGTCTCGTAAGATTTCGCAAAATCGAGATTTACTGTATTGATTCACAGAGCTATGTGCCGTAGAAGTATTGCAAATTACCATCCAATGATCTTTTCACGAAAATAAAACACTCTTGACCTCAAAACATACCTCCTCGACTGTTGCAGCCATTGTCGTCCACGGAGACAACTGGCGTGACAGCCGACCTAACATTTTCCCATTTATCGCACGATAAAAGAAAATGTGGCATGTCCTCTGTAGGCGCCCGTAATCTAGAGTCTTTTTCTCTCAAAATTTGGCTAAAAAAACTCATGCTTCTAGCGAAGTCTGTTTGCTTCCCCTATTTCTGACCTTTCGCAGTTGTATTCCCTCTCAAATTAACTTTGTGTGATCACATAAGGTTTCCATCAACAAGCTGAGGACCAATCCACATTAAACAAGGTTATAACTTGGCTCCTATAGCGTTATTATTTGACTCCACAATATTAATTTCCCAGAGATTGGCATTTTCATGTATTTATTTAATAATTCGTTTATTTCTTTTTGCTCTATTTTTCCTCACTTAGATGCAAAATTCGTGTCCTTGACTCATTTGGATCTGACGCTGAATTCAACTTCGCGTTTTACAAGGAGAATATTCCTGGTGGGAGATCCGTGTGGGGAAACTTAAATCTGCTCCTTCCACAGTTTATGACTATGTACCGTGAGTTATGGTTTTCCATTATTTTACGTGGCTATCACTTGTTTTGTTTAGTCTGCTTTTTTTATACCTTTTATGTAACTCGATGGTAGATTATTTTGGGAGCATTTATAGCATTTCGAAGTCATTATTATCACAGGCATACTTAAATTATCTAAGCAACTCAATGTTTTTGTGATTCATATGTACGTTCATGCTTCCTCATCAAATTGATTTGGTGTGTTTGTATGCTAGCCTTTTTTTCTATGTTTTGTTTTATTTCATATTGTGTTTTGCTGTTTGTATGTTTTATACCGTTTTGTTTTTGTTTTACTTTCTTTTGTTTTATGTTTGTCTTTTATTTAGTCTTACCTTTTTGTCTCTATTTTCAGCGCACAGTCCTGATAATTCGTTCGTTGGCTTTGCTGTTCCAGATAAGAAGCATCTAGTGGAAACAAAAGTTACAAGAATAGGAACAAAAGCGCTTGTTTACGGAAAAATGCCTTTTTTCTGGGAGGTAAGGAAACTCACAAGTTCATCTGCAATGAGATTAAGGTCCTATATCAAACGTCTGATGATGAGGTTCGGTCACAAAAGTCCTTATGCATTTCGTTAATAAGTTTATCCCTTTAAACTCTAAAAGTTACTAGTCTGTAAATTCTCCTTCCATAATTAGAACTGAATCAAACAGTAGGACTATAAAAATATTGAAATTGAGCGCGAACGAAGGAAGCAATCCTCTTGATTGTTAATACAATGGAAAATGTGTAGAGAACAGAATGGAGAAAATAAGGATCAGTGTTAGTATCCAAGAGCTGCACACATACCCCTTCCTAACCCAACAATAGTCATTTGATAACAAATTGGGTTTAATGTTGAGTTAGGGGAGGTTTAGGTGTGAAGTTTCTCAGTTACTGATATGATTATACCTACTGATGTTTTGATCTGAAGGGGGGCTGGGAGTTCTCTCATGATTCAATTCTTTTAAGGGTAAACTAAAGTTGCGATAGGGCACATAATGAAATAGAACCCATGAATAAATGAGCGCAACTTAACAGAAAAATACTATTGCAGCTTTTAATTAAAATCGCATTCTCTTTAGGGCAAGAGACATTATCTCGATATAATCAAGAAGTACTTCCCTGAAGTCCATGCCAACATTGGAACGAAAAACGTGAGGAAATTTGTTTTGTTTGCTTGTACTGAAGTTTCACGAACGAAATTACAATAACTGCATCAAAAATCATTTAACTCCGCACTGATTTGTATTGAATACTACACATCCTGACTCAAATCTGACCTTATCTGTGAATGAAAAACAAACCGACAATTACTGTCGGCTCCGGGTTAACCCCCTATTTATGTTTATATATAAAATAAATAGCCCGCATGTTGCCTCGCGCGTCATATTTTTGTTCTTATCACATTTTGAAGTCATCTGTGATCAAATACTGAACCGACGCACGGCAACGTGGAACCTTTGTCAAGCAGAGCTGGAGATCTAGGGAAAATTCGTGTACGTCAAATCAACCTATTGGTTTATTTGACAATTTATTTCTTTCATTATTTATCTATTTATTTTTGTCAGGAGAGCGAGCTTCGTAAGTATGAAGTCCCAGAATATATCATCAATCACGGCATAGTGAACATAACCACGCTATTGAGTCTCTTCCAGAGTAGTAAGGTAAAGAGGGAGTAGCCACAACTTTTTTTTCTACTTTTAAAAAAAACCATAAGAAAAAAGAGCACAAAATGACTGAACAACAAAACAGCTTTAAACAGCGTGAGGTAAGGAGAAAAGTCGCTCCCTCTCAACAAAACTTCAACTTCGACCTCTTTGCCAATCATAGTGCGCGTTATATTGGCCACCTGCCCGAGCCATATAATCAAGATCATTAGTATATACTAAAACAGTGCATAGCGTTGATGGCACACTATGATTGGCTACTCCAACTCTGAATATCCTTTGTTATTTAGCAACTTGCATGGGATTTGCACCCGAAAATATTGCAATCGTTGCAGAGATAATAATCAAAAAAATATATGCTTGTGCCACTTTATCTCACTGTCTTAGTATATACTAAAACAACTCAGTGTCGGTGACAAGCAGTAGATATTTAACTCGCCGCTTCCAAGCTCGGTAAATATCCACCAGTGGCCACCTCAGCTTATGTGAATAGTTTTTAATTATGATGCATTCCTCTTTAATTATATCATCATTCTTTAATCATTTTTTAATCAGGTTTTTGTGGGTCTTGGAATGCCATTCGAAGGACCAGCAGCTCTCGAGGCACTGGCTAATGGATGTTTCTTTATAAATCCCAAGGTATATCAAAGAATCATTATTATGTCAACAGCGTGCTTTTTTCTACATCCCTATTACAACACTATTACCACCCTTGTGCAATTTTTTTCGTGTTAACGTATATGGCCTTGGGGATGAGCACTCGTCAGGCTGCGATGAAAAAAGTACATAGAAAAAAAAATTATATATCCTCCTATTTTTCTTGAAGTTTATTCCGGCATACGATCGTCTCAATCACGGATTTTTCACAGGAAAACCCATGAATAGGAAGGTACGTATGCTATAAATTATACCCATGTTCCTACTAACACCACATGAATTAATTGTTGCGCTTCTTTTTTTTCTTTTCGCAATAGGAAGGGTTACGTTTAAGATATATATCCGTTATTTACCAAAGTTGTTCGGTCAAGATGGTTAAATCTGACAAGCTTTGTTCTCTTTTTGAGTCTCTGTGCACTCCGACGAAGTCAAGGTCCCTAAAACCTAAAAAAAAGAAAATTAAACGATAAAAATTAAAGTTTACAACCGTTCAATCTTGACCGAACAAACATAGTCAATAAAGGGCTTATCATATAGCAGAACGATTTCAACCAGCATGCTTTTTACGCCACCTCTCGATCAGCTAGGGACATCCAAACGTTCATTTTACTCACATTTTTAGGCAAGGTATTTCCGTGGTACATCTGTAATGAAATGTTAATTATTCCCTCATTATTTTATCCGATTAATATTTTTTTTGGTGTTAGATCACATCTCAAAATCCATACGCCGAGGTATTCATTGGAAAACCATTTGTACAAACAGTTGACATCAACAATCAAGTAGAGGTTGAAGAGGCCGTGAGGAACATACTTCAGTCAAAGGTAAGTTAATAATATCTTTGTGACACTAGGGAAACGTCTCTTAGGATAATTTTTACTTGAGTTTTGTGGGTAACCTTACATTGCATCGGTTTTTACTTCACCTATCTCTGAGATTGGTCTGAAAGACTTTCGCCCCTTGTCTCAATCAATTATTGGAAATGAAAATCCATCGTGACTTAGTCACTCGCATTTTCCGGCACTTATAAGATAGCCCGAAATTGATTAAAAATGAAAAGTGGTCCGGCATCTGTATGAACTGATTGGGAAAAAACACTCTTACACAACAAACGAACAGAAGGCTGTAGATGCCAGGATTTTAGGGATTGGTATTTAAAAATGACCGAGCAATTCCAAGCCCCTTCAGCCAGTTTGGTCCTTTATACTCTAGGGTCTCATTGGCTAATTTTGACATTTCCTTTGTCTTGATTGCCGCATTTGATTACTTTCAGCGATTTTTCTCTACGAATAAGCTTCAAATTGAAATGCATTTTTTTGTGATTTGCATTTTGGTTGGTCCATAAAGATTATTTTGAAAAACCTCGACCCAAAACGGAAAATACTCGAAGCCACACTTACTTTCAGAAGTTGTAAAATACATTGTTTTAAAAGTGTAAGTTCGACTGAGAGATACTGTCATTGTTTGGGACAAGCAAGCTTTACCAATAAAAATCGAGAGAAAGAGACAATTTTCAATTTTTTTGCTTTTGTTTTGTTTTTTTTTTAAATAATTTTCAAGTTGTTTTATTTTGCAGGCCACCCCACACTTGCCATACGAGTTCACGGTTCTAGGGATGTTAGAGAGACTAAATGCTTATGTAGAATATCAGGTATGCGATCTATTCCTACGTTCCTTATCTCTTGCTCAGTATTTCTCATCCTTGATAATCAGGAATAATAAAACCCATCCAATCCTGCCAGCCCTAATGAAGAGGAATTCAGATTTCTATGCCATGAGTAGTGCCTTGTAGGGGCTTACTTAGTTACTTGGCGTGCTTGTTGGCTTGTTTGCTTATTTTTGGGGGGGGTTTTGTTGCTGTTGTAATTATTGTTGTTGTTTTGTGTGAGTGTGTTTTTTTTTTCAATTTCTTTTGATTCCATACTTTTAAATCTACGATAAACTTCACATCCTACAATTGTGTAATCGTGGTACATAATACCCTAAATCATACTTAATAATGGTTTCCTTCTGAGCCTGAGAGCCGGCCCTCATTATACATAATTTATACTACGGGACACGCGTTTTTCCACCTGCGGGAAGAGTCGGGGAGAGGTTTGCCAGGGCTCTGGCGCTAATGGCATTCCCAGACCCCAGGCAGACCTCCAGCTGGCTCGCGTTGCTCAAACAAGCCTCATCCTTTCCTGCAGGCAGAGAAATGCTGGTGCCTAAGTGGTAATAATGAAGGCCTGCTTGAAAACTAGTTTTTACTATGCACTGCTTATGTTACTAGCATCAATAATTACGGCACGGAGAACGGCTTACCATCTCCCTGATTAAATACCTCATGGCCGACTTTACTCTCACGTCAACTTTGCCCTCTCTCTTTCTGACTCTCTCTTTCTGAGATTTATCTTTTCTCTTAAGATTTTTCGTTTTACTCTGGGTGAGAGAGAAGTTGTGTCTTTAAAGAAATGATGGGTTTTCCTTAACTCAGGACTTTTGTCGCCCTAATGACTGGCCTCCTGTCAAAGAACTGAAAACCGCGATCAGTAAAGATGGCCAGTCGTGTGAGTTTGCGTGTCTGGACAAGGGTCTCGTCTGTGAGCCTACTTTCTTCCCATTAATCAACACAAGAGACACATTCAAAAGGTAAGAAGATTACGAGTATACAATTTTTCGGTCTTTTGACCCTTTAACTCCTGTGAGCATCTAATTTCTCTTAACAGTTACAAACATCAAGGTCACGAGAACAATGGAAGCTCAAGTTATCCTGTAGTTAATATAGCAAATATATAAAGATACATTCTGACTCACTAAACCCTCCGTTTTCCGAATTTTCCATGCAAGAAACGGTACCATTTTTCTTCCCTTTGGAAACTTTTTTCGAAAATATTTGTTTCTGGACGTTTGAATGTAATCGATAGGCAAAATGATGCGTTTTCGAACGAAAACGCTCCATTGTGTGGGGATTTAATTTCATCCTTTCTTTTATCAGAGCCGGGATGCCCTGCAATGCATCAACGATAGAACCACGTGACAGCATCCTAGCTCCATCAATGAACACAGCAGACAACACGTGCATGCTACAGAATGAGGCACTCCTATTTAGCTGCCGAGCGGCAAAGGCTGGTGTCGTTCGTATCTGCCCTTGCCGCTCCTACCGCAAAGAACAAGTTGCACTATGTGAATCGTGCTTGGGAAGCTGACACCACTGACGGCAAAAGAACAAACATGTTAAAAACCAATATGTTTATATTCTCTTGGCTACTGATTCGTGAATGCGGGTTTCCGGACATTTCACCATCCATAAGATGATTACAGAGGAATACACTAGCCTCAAAACTCAGCCTTAGGTCTCAGCACTAGATCAAGAAAAGTACAGTTTGATCTCTTAAGAGAATAGCGCGTTTTGACCAAACGTTGTAGAACAATTTATTGCAATGACACCTGAAGACTGAAACGATGAATCACGTATACGCATCAAACTTATGTCCACAAATCTTCTTTCTAAAGGAGATGTAAACGTGTAACAGTTTCGTACAAGTTCGTTGACGAATATTTTTTTTTAATTCTCTTGCATTCCCTTGTTAAAGTGCTTTTGAAAAAATCCTCAAGTTTCATGTTCAGAAATGTGACATTTAAAACTAGTTTCCAATATATAGCCAATCCTATCTAATATCAAGTAGTTTTTTATGAGATTTTTGTCTGTTTAAAATTTGTCTCGGAATTACTCATAGTGAACGAGGTAGAGGGGTATGAATATGCCTGCCTATCCCTAACCCAAACTAGACCATTTAGCTCATTAAAAAACGTAACTATTTCAGCATTCAGAGGAGATTTCCTTAGCCCACAAAGGAACTGTGACTTTGAGACTTGTATGTTACAAAGCGTTAATGGCGCTTTTTTAGCTCACTAAAAATTGTTTCTATTTTTAGGAGATTTTCTCAGTCCACAAAGGACCTGTGACGTTGAAACATTTCGTTGTGCCCATCTTATTGCGATATCTCTAACGAACCTTTAATTGTCTCGGAATTCCCCTTATTGACCGAGACATAAAGGCATGAGAAATAAAAGCTACCTTCCTAACCCTTGTTGAAAGTTTTATTATTTTGCTTACCAATCAAACGTTATTCAGAGAGGATTTCCTTGACCCACACAAGAGCTGTGACTTTGAAACTTAAGCAACACAGACGGCTAATTACGCTCTTCGAACGTGTTAGACATTGTTCTCAAAAATTTATATTAAGCAAAGATATGAGCCTAATATTGTGACAACAAAATTCCGTTATTAAACATTAGGAGACAAGTAATTGACCCTTATAAAACATGGTCGATGTTGCATATCGAAACAGTAAAATTACACTGACGACTGACAGGAATGGAACTAGTTAGAGAGGCATTAGAACGGGCGAAACAAAGAGGCATAACATACAAAATTATTTCAATAATTCCTAACATTTTAAGAAAAAATTAAACTTAACTACAATAGAAATTTATATTGGGACTATGCCTTTATAGAATTTTTGATAATAACTAAAATCATATAGTTCGCAACTGTTTAAAATATTTAAATTTGACTAATAAATACTTAACAAATAGATTCCAAGTTTCCTTGCGTCTGTTCAGTAATAGATCACAGATGACGTTAAAATGTGGTAAGAACAAAAAAGTGGGACACGAACTAAACTTATCGTGCAGCCTTGGAAATGAAGACACTTATCGATGTGTTAAGACCGGAATGGACATTCTCCTTCCCCTGAAGTTCTTATCAATCATTTTCTATAACTCAAGAACATCTGTCCCGCAGTTTGGTGGCTGTGAAGCTCAGTGGTACGTCAGACGCAGCTTCTAGAGGCGTTAATCCAGCTACCCTCTACCAACATATGATTGTGGTCAGGGAGGTTCGCCTCCAAGCACGATAGACATTGCTAACACCATCAACCAGGCTTCTTGGCTCCTATGCGCGTCTTCACCCCCTTTCACCTAACACCTCAACCAACTCTGAACAGATGTTTTAAAGAAGCATCCGCAAATTGGCAATCCGGACGGAATCCCCGGTTTTTCTTAAAGTTTTACTATATATCCTTAACTGTTCGTTTAAAAGAATTGTACCAAAGCAGAATCCAATACACGATGTCAACAAACATCTACGTCCAATATCCCTAACTCCCGTGCTTTCTAAGGTTGCTGAAGATTTCGTCGTGGAGAGTTTCCTCAAGCCTGTTGTGTTGGCGAAAGTGGATGTACGGCAGTTTGGGACTGTGCCAGGTTCCAGTAACTTTCTGTCCTGTCGCCGACAGCGTGTTAAACTTAGTCAGGACTGTTACTCGGAGTGGGGGCCATCCCATCAGGGGTCCCACAGGGCAAACTTGGCCCCTGGTTATTTACTATTATGATAAACGACCTCATCATCCCGAGTACAGACATGTGGAAATATGTCGATGACTCCACTATTTCTGAAACAGTCAAAGTCTGAGGTCAGCAAAGTCCAACAAGCGGTTGACGAACTCGCGACGCAAGCTTCTGCTGACAAGTTCCAATTAAATGAAACCAAGTGCAAGGAACTGCGCAAAAGAACTTTGATCCAATTAAGGTTAATGATCAGGACTTAGAGTTGATCTTAATCTTTTGTTTTGTCAAAGGCGATAGGCGCTTCTTTTGACTGGTCTAGTTCCCTACACAACCGCCGCGAGTTCTTATGTGATAAGCTTTTTAATTCCATCCTGTCTAATCCCTCGCACAAGCTCTATAGCTTACAAAGAATTTAAGGAGTCAGGTTTTAATGATGACGTCATCTATACGTCTGTCCTCCAATAGATCATGAGTGAGAACCAATCAGAATGCGTGCATTACTGAGCTTATTATGTAAAATAAATTTGTTTCTAAAAAATACTACAGCACTCATAAGAAGCAAATTCAAGAATGAGCAGTAGCTTACAAATATAGTGATAAAAAAATATTGAATGAAATAATAGACGAGAAGCGAATGAAAACACGGATAGATGTCATAAATTAGAGAGGCTACAAAATTGACATATAACTAAGAAAGGACTCTGGAATTCACGAAAAGAAGGCAACGAGCGTTTTGCCATCCAAACAACGGATAAATCGGAGTAAATAAGGACGTTTTTTAGGACAAATAATTGCAGCATGATCCCGATAACACGACGTAAATAAATAAAAGGTGTGTTTTACCAATAATACCATTTCCCTTCTTTTTCTTCAATGAGATGTAATCGTCATCATTCGTGTTTAATATAAATTCAGTAACTTCATTAAATTCGTATTTCCGTACAGAAGCCTGTTTTGCGACAGTTACTAATGGCACTGTTTACAAAACGCCACCTGTTGTGTTTGAAAGTCTCTGCATGGACAAAGGCGTCTGGCAGAAGGTTCTTTAGCCACGCATGTAAAGAGGATAGGCTGTTTCTGTAGCGTGCACATGTGGGTTGACACATCGTAACTTGGAGCTAACAGTGACTCTTTGGTCTCCACAGCGCTACACTTCATTCCAAACCTTGTGAAGGACAATATGTATATCATATTAGAAGTTTTCGTGAGTAATATCGCAAAAAAAATTTTTACGAGTCAAAATACAAACAATGAGTTGCGATACTCAGCGATACTAAGTACCAAAACTTCTTATAAGCTTTTATTATAAGGCAGGGAAACCGAAGCAAATAGAGAAGCGGTTTGCGACAGGTATTGCATAACGCTCGCTCCTTATTATAGTAAAAATAACCAACTGTCCTATTAATAGCACAGGATATTTTTGCTCGAGTCGGCCAGCTAAATCTGGAGTCTCAACGCCCTATAATCATGCTTCTTAAAAAAGATGGAGAAGACTTACTTTTTAAGATCTTCTGTACTGTTAATGTCCACAAAAAAGGTCGGCTCACACAGTGATTCTGAAAAAAAACAGAACAAAACAGTACATGATAATGAGCTTATTGAACTTTCAGAGGTGGGAAATTGGTTAAACAGTCCATACGTTGGGTAAGATTTTCACCCTTAGCGAAACTCTTTGACTAGCTTAGTAAGAGGATTAGCGGGAGAAAAAAAATATGAAAAGAAAAGATATAAAAGACTTACCACGTTCTTTGCAGACATCAACGCACGATTTTCCAGCTGCACCCATTGATAGTATCATTTCTGACAATGGAGGCCACCGCTCGATATGCTCACAAAAGTTCTAAGGAAATAAAAAAGACAATTCTGTAAATTAATTTTTATCCTTCTTTGTCGGTCCAGCACAATAATTTTCGATCCCATCCTGAGCAATTCTTTATTAAAATGTATGAGGGAAACCGCTCAGGATTTATCAACAACCCAAAAACTGTGCATCATTTGTTCAAGACAGAACTTCGAGACTGTTCAAGTCCTTTGCTCCGTTTGCTGTCAACCATCAACAATTTTCATGCTTTTTTCTTGGTTTTTTTTTTGGTCGACCTTCCTTTTTCCATCCTAGTTTTCCATGCTTCACTAGGTAAAGTAACAGTCAATCTCTTTATCAACATTGATCACATTATAATAAATTATAAAAGTATGATCTCAAAATCCCTCATTAGCACGTTTCTTTCTAAAAGTGAGTGGATAATAAGGACAACTTTTTTTAAAACTATGTCTATTCCGAATTATGATGAAGTTACTTTCCGGAAGTACATTAAAGTTACTCTCTTTAAGGGATAAGTTGTGCATGCCAGGAATAGTTGAGCCAAATAAGCTCAACTGGCCAATCTACGTGCAAACGTAAGTACTCACATAATATTCTGCGAAAGCATTCACGCGTTCCAGCATGCCTTTATGCGTCCATTCATGAGGAAGGTAAGGCTTGACCTACAAGAACGAGTAATCTAATCGATCAAACAGGTGGTCTAATTTTTCATCTATCAGCTTAGGGTTCAGTCCGTCAATCACACCTTAACACGTTCAGTCAGCAAATTAGTCAGTGACTCAGTCACTCACTAGGTCAGTCTATCAGTCACTCAGACAAAAATTTGGCTAGGTTTAATCAGTCAGTCTTTCACAAACCACCCACTAAGACAAACAGCCAGTTGGCCAGTCAATCTGTTTGTCAACCCTCAGCCCGTTGGTAGGTCAGTATTCAGACAGTCGGCAAGTCACTCAATCAGTCACTCCTTCAGTTCGTGAACCAGCCGATAGTCTACTGTGGTCGTCAAGTCTCTGGACAGCGAGTCAGTTCGTTCGTCATTCATTTAGAGAGCCAGCCAGCCAGTCGTCAGCTTCTACCCTCGCGGGTGACTCGCACTTCGCGCCGCCTCGTCCTTTCCTCCGATCGAGTGAAAAACGAGAAAAAATTACGCCTGTTCTGTAGGCTACCTTAAATTAATATCTCTCTAAGATTTTGATATCACATCGACATTGTCCCTATCACAATCTCCCCTTCAATCTCATCATTCTTCTGAATTATCGTTTTTATTATATGAAGAACTGACACGTCATTTGCAAAGGTGTAAATACCTCAGTTCTTAACATCTCCTTCACAGCCTCTTCCACATGTGAAAGATTAGAAATATCAACGGTGAACACGTGTGGCTTTCCGATGAAGACTTCGGCGTAAGGATTCTGTGATGTAAGCTAAAAACAACACAAATGACTAACATTGCAGCAAAGCCTCGGTAAATTACTGTTGCTCAACAATAAATAAAAGCTTAAAAGATTACACATTTCCCTCGGCAATGTTTCCCAGATTAGTTATGGATATTGAACTTAGTGGAGTGCAAGTTGGTCTGAAATTGTACGCGGGATTTCAAAATCAAGCAAGCGCGCAGCGCAAGTGTAATTAGAAATCAACCATTACATTACATCTGTTTTGAAATGCCAAAAGTGAGTCGCTTTACACAACTCTTTTTAGTCCTAAAAAATTGTATTGATCCAACATATTAAGCTGGTTTGCAAATTATTGCAAAAGTCGTCTTTTATTTTCCTGCAATTTGATTGATTTCGCCAATAAGGCCTTGAAATTTGAGTGATTCTTTCTTTTTTTTTTAGTAAAGCTGTCTCTGTTGGGAAAAAGATGCGATTTAGTGCACGAAATTGCGAGAGCCAATCAGAATGCAAGGATCACAAGTGATTTTAAAATGGATGTAATAAAACAGAAAATCAAATCTGAGTCACACCCGTCGACGAAAAAATAGTCAATCTCTTCTATTAGACTCCCGCACAAGCCTTAGCAAACCTGACTTCATCCAACAAAAATATCACCTCAGTCTCTTACGTTTCTAAGAGTTGGTTTCAACTTGAAGAATCCTGTGTTGAGGCGATTATGCGGAGGGTCAAACTGCAAAACAATACTTAATAATAATAATAATAATAATAATAATAATAGTACTTTTTAAATTTTCGTTATCTATATACAACTTTATCAAAATCCAAATCGTACCTACATGCCAAATTGCTAAAGAGAAAGAACTTTTTGACATCACATAATAATGCAGAAAAAAATTAAATCATCTTTGTTTTATCTGCGTACATTCGGAAATTAACAAAGGGAAAAAATGCTCTCTACACAATAAAAATAACGACAACAATAATAATAAAAATAAGATATAAAACAATGATGATAACAATGTCAATAATAATGATGATGATGACAAGACGAAAAACATCTTTCTCTACTTCTTTACCAAGCTCAAAAATTTATCATATCTATTATTCCATTTAACAACGATAATTATAACGATAATAATAACGATGATGACAATGATAGTGACCATACTGATAATGAGGGTAAAGACTCTCAAACTTCAAATAACAGCACTCTTTAAATAACCTTTTTCCTTGCGATTACATAAATGATTACCTTGGCATTTAGAAAAATACATCCTTGTGCTATTGCTTCCAGGGGTGCAGGGCCTTCATACGGAAATCCGAGACCTATGAACACCTGAAATGATTAAATATGACATCGGTGCTTTGATCAGGCAAGACAAGGCTTCAATAACGTCATCGTCGCCGTCAATATCTGAAGAAATGTTGCACGTTTATTTCTAATGTCTCCTGAACTCTTTTACTCATCCTTGAAATATGATCATTAAATCAAGCATTAAGATTGTGAGATAAAAAGGAAATGATCACGAATTAGAGAAGTTCTTAATTGTTAAAAAAACCCTCTACTTGTTCGAACCGAAATGCATAGAGAGCAGTAAGGAGAATATGCATACTGATGTTGGGTATACATGGTTTACGCAGGTTGTCCGCGAGTAATTATTAAATTGCGCAAAAACAATGTCGGCTACTGATCCAACGTCTTGAGCCTATTTTTCCTTTTGTAGGCTCTATTTTAATCCAAGTGAAAGTCGATCGCAAATGTGGTTGTCGACAAATGAGGCGCGTTTTCCTTATTCTGGTTAGTAGTTCAACAGAACAACATTCTTCTTCAAAAACTCTGGCTCTTGTGTTGATGGCATGTTTATGGTTTGCGCAACAACTCGGACTGAACTCGATTTTAAAATTCTACACTTCTCCTAAAATATGAAAAGAAATTAATAGTAAGCTGCTTGAGGTGGTCGCTTAACAGAGACAATTTGGGTCTCAAGAGGGTTCAATTTTGGAGTAAATATGGGAACCCAAAATTAATATCTAAGTTGGATTATACTTTATTCGAGGTTGCTCTGTATGCACGCTACATGCTCACCTTAGTTTCCTGTAAAAGTTTTTCTAAGTCGGGTTTACTAAGAATGCCATGTGATATCACGTACTCAGGAATATTTTCTTTGATCTCTGCTTCCTGAAAACAAAAGACACCAGTAGTTTAATCACTAGTAACAATCTGCAGGAAAAATTATTATACATGCATTTTTGGCAAAGTAAAAGTTGCAATCTGTATTATAATGTGACTAGTATTTGGAGCAGGACTGCTTCTCCTCCTGAAGTGAGATTGGTGACCACCAGTGGCTAATCCACAATCGAGATCGTCAATTGAGCAGTAATGTTCGATCAACGGTAAAATCACCTATCCCCCAACCTTGGATAGAAATTTCTATCTCCCTCAGACTTTAGTCTCCAATATGATATCAAATATGGGGGCAAAACTTTTCACGCAGAAAAACAGAGAGCTTATTGAGGCGCTGTCGTTAGCAATATCATACAGCCTTCAGTTATTTACTTCAAACATTTTTTTCCATCAACATTTTTCCATCTCTACAAACATACCGACATAGCAGAGAACGTTCCATGTATTTCTAAATGTTTATGTAACGTGTCGAGGTATTCTCTTTTTCCCTGCAAAGGAAGAAACGATACAAAAAATAAAAATTAAAGGGAAACTTTGAACAGGGAGGCTTCAAGGACATCACCTTGTAACTTAGTTATCAAACAACAGTAAAGGATGCTTTGATTGTTTCGGCGTTTTTTTTCCTTTTTTGTTTTATCGTAACATCGTGTTTGTTTATTTCAGGTGAATTGGCATATGGGTAGCCATGCAGGCATGCGCGTCAGTCATCCCCTACGACAACTTATATATGAGGTGTCACACAACGTTTCGTTTTATAACTAAGACCCTTTTGAGCAAATCCTTCGCTTCATTTACTAGTAAGCGCCGAGCCCCCATTCAAACCAGCTTGAAGCTTACCTGGGCCAGCCTGCATAAATATCGCTAATAAATAAATAAATAAATAACGTAGCAGCGACGTCTCCCTCCAGATATTTTGTGCTTCTCTAAAAGCGTTAATACGATTTTCTTTAAGCTCAGGGTTTCTGTGTAACAAGTTCTTGAGAGGGGATATGAAATTGCTTTGACCGGAGGCTATTGCACGTAAAGTCGTCTTGGTAAAAAAAAAAAAAGGGTGCCGACGCTATCCTCTCTATCCCTTGTGAGGTTGATGGGCATCCAGGCATCCAACAACGAAAAACTACAGCACGAGTATAATTAGAAAGTTTTCTCAGGAGAACACTAAGGACACAAACTGTGCGTCGTTTAAAATTTGCAGTCCGTGTTCATCGTGCGAATCCTATACAAACTTGATCTCTCTAAGCCTGTTATTTTCCCTTGAGTTATAACATTTTTCAAAATTTGCAAATAAATATCTAGTAACTTGTCAAAATATTTGACACAGTCCATTTGTTGAGTGAACTTGGCGATCGCTGCAGGCACGTCACCAAAACAAAGCACACACTCATTGCCAACTCTTTTTTCTGAGAATCTATGTATATGTCTCCCTGGGTGATCGAAGGAACAAAATTAATAATGCTAGAGAGCCATTGGACCAGCTTAAAAACCCTCACCTGCCAGAAGCTAGCTTCTTTGCCATAAACGAGTCCGATCGGTTTTTTCTTCAATGGTTTAACGTCTTCTGGAATAGGTTCACCAACCACAAAGCCCAGAAACAAGTTATCTGGACTATGAGCTGATGACAAGAGCAAATAGTAATCACTTTTCTGAGAGCGGGATTATGACTCGGTTCTTCTAAGACAGGAAAAGATCAAATTTAATTCCTTACTAATTGGTTGTAAACCTCTTACGCCTTCAGATTTATAATAATCGTTTTCGTTTCTCGTTTTACGCGCAAGTGTACAACTGTTTGTAGTTTTATCTTTTGTTTGTTGCTCCTATTTGAGGGCATCCGAAAGCGTTGCAAGGAGGGGTAAAAAAAATACAGACAAACAAACAAACAAGATAATTGTACGTGTAATGGTTAGGATCAACTGGGGATTTTGTTAACCACTCGTACGATTACGGACCGAATTTGACTCCACTCAGTCTTATTAACATTATTAATCAGTTTTGTAAAAGCAGCTTGAATAAACAGCATGGAAAGTCGCTTACGAAACATTGTCATGATCTGCCAAAGATTGATATCAGCTCGCGCCCACGCTGTCTTTTCGCCAGGTATCACGCCTTCATATGTTCCATAGTTAAACTGTGCGTCCGTTCCAAAGGTATCAAGAATTCTTATTCGGCATCTAGGAATGGAATTGCAAAGTACCCACATTAAACGCGAGACAAAGACTAGTTGAACAGTTTATGAAGAAAAAAATCAAAAAAGGGTAACTATGGCATAAATCCAAAGATTGAGGGCGAACTGGCAACAAACAAGTGCAAAGCAATAAAATAACAAAAACGGAAACCATCGAAATAACCATACGACCGACCTAATGAACGGAAACGGCACCGTCCGAAAACAACACGATAACGGAAAACCGTTCCAGCGACCGGCTGACCAACCAAACAAACGAAGGAACGAAAGAACTATGGAACGAAGGAACAAGTAAGTTCAAACATACATCTGACCTCTAACCCCTACACTTACCTATAAGGCGACAAATTTGGAGTAATGTGCTTGAACATGTTGGTAAACCCATTGTAGTCTGTGTAAATCAGGTCAAATTCAGGCTCGAATATATCAGCACAACCACGAAACTTTGGAGCCGACATATAACTGAAAAAGAAACATACAAGTGCCAAGCAAACAAGCACAGGAAATCACTTATATAAATATTGTCATGAACCATAAGATATTTTTTCTAGCACTCGATTGGTCTAAACGCGTCACGTTACCGACAAATGTCCGTGCATATTTTCGCGCTAATTGGAGGCTACTATTTATACAATGCGACATGGACACATCTTCAAATGCTCCAATATCAACGCAATCGTTGTGGATAATAACGAGAGGTAAACATCACAAGTAACCGATGAGAAGTCAAGTTTAACACAAGGAAACGGTATCTAAAACACGACAGAGAAATTTTGAATTGAGTGTCGAAAAGCCAAAACCAAAGTGATCTCAGGCGATCCGTCAGAAGAAAGATCAAGATCATCAGTAGCCCATAAGGACTCATAGTGGAAAGAAGCAAACTCCTTGAGGTGCGAGAAAATGTGAATGACAAAGTCGCGATTGTTTTAAGTTTTGCATATGACTGGTTGAGAGGATGGCGCGAGAGTCTTCGGGAGCAATCACGAAGCAGCGTAAATTAAGACTAAAGCGATGCCGGATTACTTTCAACTGAAAAAAGCTCTAAGGGGTTAACGCACGTGAGAAAGTGGCAATTTAATTCTTACTGCTTTATTCTTAAACATTTGATGAGTTAAGAAGATTCCACGAGTATTATTGACCAGTCGAGGGCTAAAAAGACAAGACCAATCAAATGTTGTAAATCCAATTCCAGAGAACGTACATGTAATCACAACTCTGAACCAATCAGAGTGTAGAAAAAGAACACACGACTCGAAGAAAACAATACAAGATTTGCGTTTGATTGGTCGAGAAGAGTTTTCTAGACCAATTCCCAACTGCTGTAAAATTGCACTGAAATTGCTTGACTCAAACTTACCTCTGGTACGTGATAGAGTTGACGGAGATTGTCACGTCATGTCCCAAAATGTACAACGCCGCTATCAGATCGCTCCACTGCACCATCTCTCCCAGAGGTCCACCGGTAAAAGCCATATTCAGCAACATGGGGTTATAAGCATACGTGCCGAGGAAAATAAAAATCTATGGAAAGAGTTAAAAATAGCGTCTTAGTCAACTTTTCCCTTGCTAATGTTTCGCGTTGGAGAATGAAATCGTTTCCTTGAAAATGCAAATCAAGGTTCTTCGAGTGTATCAAAACTCGACTCTCGATACTCTACTCTCAAATTACCGCTACCTTTTTGACGTGATGTTTCCTGCGTAGTGATCCCTCTGTTGTGAACTGTTTGGCTGCTGCCACCCACCGAGGCCACATTCTTGAGATACGGTCACGCATCCACCGCAAATTCAATTTATTCAGGGTGTCTATGAATGTTTGATCCAGCTCAAATCTCATTTCTGCAAGCTAACAGAAAACAGTAATATGACCCTCAGCAACACGTTCATTTTAACCAAGGTCGTGTTGCAGTGCACAGGACTCCATTTTCTCTCAAACAACTATCCACCATGTTCACAGCAGGAGTAACACGTTTACTATAGGTAATCTGATGTCTTTCATCTATCACGTCTCTCATAAAGCGTGGTAAAATACACGTTAAAAACACAGACAAACCAACATTTCTCATTCTCAATGATGCTTCCATTCTTCGAATCCCGTGTTAATTAAGGGTCCCCAAAAGGTTCTTCAATACCGCGATCCCGAATAAAATTTTCTCTCAATCCCGTAGTCCCGACGGTTTATACCGGCCAATCCCGATCCCGATCATACAATTTTGTCTTCGCTCATTTCCTAAACTTAGAACGGCCTTTCCGGTGGGTGATGATTTTCTTAATTAGCATTGATTCGTTTAAGTCTATAGTCATTGTAAGGCATGAGTTTATTTCTTTTCACCAAGATGATGATATTGTTCATTTAAGAAGTTCTGCACGAACAACGCACGCTAGTCACAGTAGCGACTTCCTCTCATTAAACTTCGATCACAGAAAAACGTATGGGTATAGGTAGGTCAGTATCAAAGAAACGAAAACCAATTTCAAACAGTGGATAAAACACAAAAGGTCACGGCAATCCTGTAGTTCCATAACAACGGAGATAAAAACAAATTAACTGAACACAATTCTGCTCTTCAAGCGAACACTTCTTCCGAGGCGGGAACCTCTTCCGAGGTAAAATCAGCCTCTTGTTCCAAAGATGGAATGTCATCATCATCACTCGGGGAATCGTATTCTAATATTCCATCTTCCTCTCCGTCTTGTTTCCCGCTGTTTTCTCGCTGCTTCTCGAAGTCAGAGCATCCGAGACTGACCCGGGTTCGACCTGCTGAACTTCTCTCTAATAGAGGTACGACGGGAAGTTCCAGCTCTTGCCATCTTTGTTTCCTGTCTGACAGAGAGCTAATGCACTGCTGCAACAAATGTTTACGCCCGATCCCTCATCTTCTGTATGTTCTGTGGTGCCATCGGCACAGGTGGTAACGGTTGAATTGCTGGTATGGCCGACAGGATCATGGCACGTTCGGGTACAGGATACCAAGAATTTGGATCTGTTAAATGGTACGCCGTCTAATGGGTTGTCCTCATTAAGCCTTGTCAGGCTACATTTCCAAAGTTCCTTGGGTAGTCTAACACCGTGGAAAGTTTATCTTTGTAATGCACAACCGAAAGAATATTCTTTACAGTGTCGTGTAACTCAACAGGTTAAGAGCATCATATTAGTATAATTCTGAGACTTGCTGGAGGCTTTTCAACGCTGTTAAGCATTTCAATTGACGCAAAAGTCTTAGACCACGTTCTACATGAGCTCTGCGGGCCATTGTGGATTTTTGATAAATTGGTAACTTCGCTTCTGATATAATTTTCATTCTCGCACAATTACTGAAGGGTGTCGTTAAGTAGCCCGACCGCCTCTTAAATGATAGAGAGCCTGTGTGCCTGGTGCTTTTTATGACTGAAAAGATCAATTGCTTCATAAATTCTTGTCAACGGACATCTCTGTTCTCGGTTTGTTTAAGTGATTATTTCCCACATCCCGCTCCTCAAAATCGCCGATTTCAGTGTCCCGTTTATATTAGCAATCCCGCATTACGCTCTCTCCATAATTTAAATTTCCGGATCCCGGCCTTTAAATAAGCCCAATCCCGGATCCCAAAAACCTATTGGAGACCCTCTTAATTCGTTGAAATTTGAACACCTCTGGAACCAAAGAACAAAAGGACGCTCTGCATGATTGGTGCGAGATGTATACCTTAATGCGGTGATCTGATTGGTGCGAGATACATACCCTAAACGATCTGATTGGTGCGAGCAACATACCTCTCTATACGCTGACTTTACATTACTTTTTTTCACGTGTGCTTGATATCACCAATCAGCTGCTGCACGTCATTCGCCTTTCACGCTCTCGTTCAGGTTGATGAAACCAGGGAGTATGGCTACTACAGCACTGAAAAAACCCGTATCGCTCACCGAAAGTGACGTTCGAACTTTTCTAGTAGGGAAAGAATAGCCAAAATTCGAAAAGAAAAACCGAAAGTCACCTAATCAGTGGTTTTGGTAATGGCGTTTTCCGCGGCTAAGAACGAAAATCGATATCTGGAAGATTTGCCACAGGCCGCTGTTGGCTGTGTACCTGAAAGATTTCTTCTTTTGGTGTGGACAAAATAAGTAACTGAGAATTTTGTTTTTATTATTTTTTTATTCTTTCTTGTTTCTTTTTTTATTTTGAATTTTTATTTTCATTCGTTTATTGAGTCGATTTTTCTCGTCAGTGAAGGGCTATTGTACGTGTTTATATGATAAACAAAATAATACATGGCTGCTTGTAGACATGGAATCATTCTTCTCTAACCTCGGGTTCTTTGGTGCTTGCACCGTTTTTCCGCCGCCATGGCAGTAATGGACAAAATCTTTCAACCTGTGACGGGAATTGCATAACCAATGTGTATTAGTGCAGTAGTTATTTAGTAGAAAAGGATATGAACACTGTGCATTTAGAAAATTGCACTTAAATAGTTTACAGAGAGAAATATGACACTCAAGGTGAAACAGAAATTTGCTATGAGAACATACCTCACTAAGGTAAACAATGACAGAGCAAAGGTTCTCTGGCTTCAGTTTGTGTCTATCAACATAGCATTCTGCATTTATGTACCAAAATTGCTGCATAAACTGAGAAGTTGATTGGGGTAGTGAGTTAGTTACAGACGCATTTTATATAAAGTCAGTGAAGTGTTAATATATAATTATGATCGACGTAAAGATCGTTAATACACAGCATGCAAATAACAAACAAAACATTCATAGGAACTGCAACTAAAGCCCTGAAAGAAAAAAAAAAAGACATATTTCTGTTCTATTTGGAACCATGTAAAATTTCAAAAATTAAAACCAAAAAATTGGACGAAAAAAGCTTCTCATTTAACTTGCAATTAATTTCATGAAAAATAAAGAAAAGAAACGACCCCTGCGGGTGGACTCCAGTTTTAGAAGATGCAGAGAAGAAGCAAAGACAAAATTTATTTCAATGCAAGTTAATTGCTGTCAAATTTCTCTATGCATATGGAAAAGATTAGAACCCTCTCAAATGTGCCATGCGATCAACGTGTGGCTTTGTAACTGACAGAGGGTTGTAATTTAAGTTCCCAACTAATATCTGGGAGACAACTACTCTCTGAGTCCTAGTTGTATTACGGATAGTAACCCAAAAAGAAACATTTTATATACCATTAGTCAGTCCTACATGTCACGCCAACATTAGGAAGCACACACTAAATGTAAGGTCTGCTAGATATCTTACTTGAATTTTTGATTCACAAAATGGGAACAACCAGTCATATGGAACCTGGCATTCTTCTTTGCTGAGCTTTTCTGGGTTAAAGAAAATGAAAGAATGAAAAAAAGACAAATCAGAGGAATATGTCATGAAAAGCTTCTATAACAATTTCAGCTACTGCATATCTTAAACAGCATTGTAACTTATAGTGTATCACTAACGCAAACTGATTTATTCTAAGACCATTATCAACACATGTATCAACAGACTGACTGAATGTCACTGACTGCCAGAGTAATTGACTGTCTAGTATTCGGGTTTAGATTGAATAACTTTTAGAACGACAAACAGACTGACTGAACATATAACTTAATCACTCCATGACAGACAGTGACTGACACTATTATGACACATTATAGGTCTAAAATTAAGCACCTGAATTCTCTATATGGTATTCCAGTGTTTTTACTCTTTGAGTTACATCTTGCTTGTTTGAATCATATGCTGCGATAAATAATTAAAGCAAAATAAGTACAATGACAAAAACACTCTGTATAAGATCTAACAAAACACTCTTATTACTTCTATCATTTTATCATTCATGTAATTATCATTATCAGAGCCATACGTCTGAACTCAAAATCATGCCTGCTCTGCAAGCTTACAGGTTGTGAGTAACTGATCACAGCTTGGGTATTAATCAGATTACTGTAATGACAAAGGTATACTATATCTAACGGACTGAACTGGACTGGTCTGAACTGAGCTCTACAACAATTCCCAGAGGGCATAAAGGGGGGAAGGAGAACCAAGATTAACATTTGTTTAACCTTTCATACCCTAAGATCTGCATGTGTATTCTCTTTACTCCTCTATAAACATTAACTTTGGCACTGGCAATGAGAATTGTGCCGAAATTCAAGAACTTTTCAAGCTTGTAATCATCTTTTTAAAAATCTAACGAGCCTAATGTTTGATTCCACATTGATACCAGAATGAAAAATCTGCTTGATATTAAGGTTTGGGTAATTTCTTATTACCTGTTTTCTGTATAATGTATGGATATTATAGAGAGAATTTACATGTTAATCACTTCTGGGAGTTTAAGGTAGTTGAGGCAATTAGCTGTATTCGAAAGAATTACAAGTCTGCAAGTCATTACAAAGTACAATTTGCATCATGTTCATGTGCGAATGTTGACAGAAATGAAAGGAAACAATTGCGAAAGTGTGAAACAATAGACATTGTTACGAAAGAAGATTTGCTAAACAAAAAGCAGACCTACACAAAAGAATGGATACTGCTAAAAAACAAGATCTGTTAAACAAAATAGCCGAACAATACAAAACAATGGATACCACTAAGAGACAATGATCATGTACCAACTGAGCTTGGAAATCTTCAAGAACTGGAACAAATAATAATTGCACAGCGCATTGTATTTGAAAAATTAATAGTTACGCCAAAAGAGCAACACAGAAAAATTAAAGGTGTGGTATGTAATTTACTAGTAAACTATGTACAAACATATAACGTACTACCTTGTCCTCCCGAACGATTTGGTACATATCTCCTTAATTTAAAAAGAAAACTTTAGTTCATGAGACATTTTTATTTTCAACCTATTAGACCTGAGTTCATAATAACGGCGCGTAATTGGTTAAAAGCTAATAACCCCCGGTATAAAGCTATTTAAATTGATTGTGGAGATAATGATGTAGACTGGACAGATATGACACACAATGAGAGTAATGACACTACCTTTGTGACAAACTTTCCACCAGCAGACCAATCAAGCAATACAGTATACTTTTCGCTTATGCCACTGACACTTTATTTGTTTGACCCAGACAAATTAAGATATAAGATTTTGATAATTTGTGTGTACGAATTAGATGTGAGCAGATTTAATATCTATTGATTACAACACCTTGGCACAGTAGTTGCTATTTCTTGAGGTCTTTGCTGTCACATATGGCACTGACACTGACACTGACATGAATATGTCTGCAGATGTAAAGCTATTGACGAAAAGACCTCTTTCAGGTATATACACAAAAGATCTTGTTTTGTTCTTCTGATGTTATGCTGGAGTCAGATCCACTTTAAAATTTAAGAGTTAGTTAAAATTGCTTTTCCTATTGATATGGAGGTCAGATCAAATAGACTAATGGGTTTGATTCATTCTGTTGGTCATAAATAAAAGTTGGAATACAAAAGTTTCAAATTATAAAGTGCAAGATTATAATTTGCTGGAGTGTGTAATCATACAAAACAATACATTTTACTGTCCATTCAAGGGACTAGGTTACCTAAGGTGTCCAAGCCAGAGGCTCAAACTATCCCTAAATGCAAATAATCGAATGACAAGAAAACTTCATTTCATTCATTTTCATTCTTCCCAAGTAAAGACAGGTGGAAACAGAGTAATTTAAAAGCTAAACTGAATTTTTGAAAAACAAAATTCTAAACTCAAACTATGCAACATCGAAAGAAAATCCGCGTAAAATGAATGAGAGAAGAAGCATATACTTCATGCCCTAGAAAAGATATGCAAATTGCCAGACGACCATTGAATCTCGTCACGTAGGTATAATACACTTTCATAGCTGTATATCAAGTGACACAGTTGTCGCAGTTTTGTCATTAACTTTAGGCAACGGACATAATCTATTTTTAAACATAACAATCAAGTTTCATCGAAAAAGAGAAGCCCGAGTACACGCAGATATACGTCGAGTTATATATCATAACAATCATAACACGTTGGTGGTCAACCAGACCACACAGTATATGTGATCCTCTGTCAATTAATTTCCTTTTTTAATTGTTTTTGTTCCATTTCAAGATAATGTGGCGAAAAGCTTTCCGGTTGTTAAGTCAACATTGTGTTTAATTATTTACATGAAAATGAGACTAATAATTGCTTCGTAGCTGTCAACCACTTGAACTTGAAAACAAGCATCCAAGCTACAATATCGTACTCTTAAAGACTTAAGCAGACGTAACCATGGTATAGAGCCCAATAAGAACATCAAAGAGACACTGTAAAAAATAAGCATCCAGTTCGATCTGTATGAGGTATATACTTATATTTCTGCTCCTTTCAATCAAGAAACAGATCTATTGCTTTGTACAAAATTAAGCCCAACAGATCTTAAAACTGCAACGCGCGGGCAGGTACAACGGTTGTTTTCTCATCAGCTGATCTGACAATTAAACTCAATAAAATAAAAGCGATTATGATTATTATGATTACGGTTGAGTACCCGCCTCTCTGGCGGTCAGTAGGTTTTAAATGATCTCCTTGAATGCTACGAGCACAATATAACGCGATCAGTAGTCATCATGAAGTACGTATATGAACAAACAAGTGGAGCGTTACAAGGTTGTTTTCGTCTAATTCAACCCCTTGAGCGCATATCAAACGACGCAGTAAATGGAACGTTGCAAGCTGGCAGTGTTGTCCTCGTTTAATTTCAATCCTCGAGTGCATATCAAACGACTGCACTTCCCTTAATTTACGTGGTAAATGGAAGCAAACCAACCTGCAACGATCGATCCTCTCTCCGAGTCTGAGTTCATTGGCAGTTTCGCGTAGAAATGGAAACTGATGAGAGTGCTCACTATCGTTGATAAAAAGAGCAACAAAATGCGATATCGTCTGCAAGTCGGCCATGACATCCTCCAGAACGAATAATACGGAGGGTCGGTTCGGCCTTGCCACCCGGGATAAGAATGCATGTTTTCTGGAGGTGAATAGGTTTTAAATGATCTCCTAGACGGGATCAGTAGTCGTCACGAAGGTGTATATGAACAAACAAATTAAATAGAGCGTTGCAAGCCACCAGTGCTGTTTTCATCTAATCAGCCCTTAGGCGCTTATCAAATGACCTCACTTTCCTTAATATACACGATAAATGGAAGCAAACAGACTCTTCCTCGCAAAGCAACAAATCGTGCGTGTTCACGGACTCGGAAGGTATCAATAGTCGACATAAATTACGGTCGCTTTGTTCGATGGTCGTTTCGTTCCAAGTCGTTTAGTTCCAAATCGTTTCGTTCCATCTCGTTCCGTTCCAAGTCATTACGTCAAAGTAGTTTTCATTACGTCAAAGTAGTTTTCATTACGTCAAAGTAGTTTTGTTCCACAAAAAAGTCGTTTAGTTCCACGCAATAGTCAATTCTTTCCACATAAACACTAACAGTTTAACAAATTTTAAACTGATAACTTGTAATTTAGAAGAGCAGAGGGGCATTTTGCTGCGCATCTTCTATAAATTTTAGTTTGATACGAGAAACTGCTGGTATGCGCCTGCGTCGGTTTGCCGCTCGAGAATCGCGAAGGAAAAGAAGCAATAAAATACGTCGGAAAAAACAATGGTTCGAGTATTTGAGACAACCTTTCTTCTCATTTTTTCTTCTGTAACTCTAAAGAAACAAGGAGTTCCAGCCCCTTGAGTAATTATCCATTTGTTGTATCGCTCAACCAGAGAAAGTTAGATAATTTTAATCTGCGAGTTTTATAGTACACTTCGATTCAAATTCATTTCGTATGGCAGGAGTATTCAACTCAGACAAACAAGATAGAATGAAGCTGACGCCATCCGTTTCGAATAACACATGAACATGAAGAAAACAGCACCAGTTTAAACTCATGATACAAAGCCCACGCATTTTTTTTTGAGGTAAATGAACTGGTTAGACCGAAAGCTAAATAAATAAACAATGAACTGACTGTGGTGAGGGATGTGGGGGCCATGTGATAAAACAAGTTCTACCGAAGTTTATCCTCTAGTTAGAAGCCTTCAAGCCTAAAAGGGCAATCAGAAAAATTCTCACCAAAACACAGCAACAAAATTAGATAAAACCGGAGATGATCGCGGATAGTCTATAAACGTTGTTAAGACACATGCCTACATACCAAGTACAACAGACTTGGAGAGCAAAAAGGCCAAAGACAGTTGTGAGCCATGACTTGGAAAATCCACCTCAACTTCCCAAAAACGAATTCGCCGAAGGTTGTAGAAAGAGCAACTCAATCCTGCCGCTGGAACATTCTTTTAAGCCTCGTGTCCTATGTGACTACAAAGAGAAAGAGGAGATATTATTTGAAGTGATTTGAAGCTTGGGGCCACCTCGAACTTAACGTAATTTTATTTCAAAGTTGAAGTAAAATAAGATCAAATTGTAAACTACCTTCTATTATCGTAACGAATATCTCACGATCGCCTCCACACACCACTTCGTGATTCATAGAAATAAGAAATCAACATCTTAAGACTGACCTTCAAGGTTTTGAGTCTCATGTGCACATCTTGATCGTCAGCAAATCAAATCTCAAACTTCAAGTTTTCGGTCTTTTTTAGCGTTTTGTTCGCACTTTGATCATTAAAATATCCTCATCCGAAGAGCCAGCAAACTCCAGGAGTATCCACAGAGTTAGAAATGGTGGTAAATTCGTCATATCCTTTCATCCCTTTCCAAAAAGGTGTCGATCGCTCTGTTGAAAACCCGCAAAAGCGCGCTGAAAATATCAAAATGGCGCCGAACGCGCCGAACAAATTTTCTTGGCGCATGCGCAACAAAATGCCCCTCTGCTATTCAGAAGTAAATTGTAAGTATTAATTCGACAGACATATTAGTACCCAGTGTCGCGCTGTTAAAAGGAGGTTGTGCCTTTTTGTTAATATAGCAAATTTATATAGATCCATTCTGATTCACTAAACCCCTTCTTTTTTACTTTTTTTATGCAAGAAACAGAATCGTTTCCTTCCCTTTTGAAACTTTTTTCGAAAATATTCGTTTCTGGTCATTTTGATGTAATCGATAAGCAAAAAGATGCGTTTTCAAAACGAAAACGCTCCATTATGTACGTGGCCTTAATTTCATCTTTTCTTTTATCAGAGCTGGGATGCCCTGCAATGTATCAACGATCGAACCACATGACAGCATCCTGGCTCCATCAATGAACACGGCAAACAACACGTGCATGCTACAGAATAAGACACTCCTATGTAGCTGCCGAGCGATAAAGAGCATTTGGGGACTACTGTCTATCCCTAACCCAAACCCGACTATTTAACTCATTAAAAAACATAATTACTTTAACAATCAGAGGAGATTTTCTAAGCCCACAAAGGAACGGTGACTTTGAAACTTGCATATTTCAAAGCGCCAATGACGCTTTTTTAGCTCACTGAAAATTTTTCTATTCTTAGAGATTTTCTCAGTCCACAAAGGACCTGCAACGTTAAAAGCTTTCCGTTGTGCCCATCGTATTGCGATATCTCTAACGAACCTTTAATTGTCTCGGAATTTTCCTTATTGACCGAGACATAAAGGCATGAAAAATAAAACGAGAGAAATTCGTAAATGAGCTTTTGAAGCTACCTTCCTAACCCTTGCTGAAAGTTTTTTTTTTATTTCGCTTATCAACCAAATTCTATTCAGAGAGGATTTCCTCGACCCACATAAGAGCTGTGACTTTGAAACTTAAGCAACACAGATTGCTAATTACGCTCTTTCCAACGTGTTAAACATTGTCATAGAAAATGTATATTAAGCACAGATATGAGCCTGATATTGTGACAACAAAATTCCGTTATTAAACTTTAGGAGACAAGTAATTGACCCTTGTAAAACGTGGTCCATGTTGCATATTGAAACAGTAAAATTACGTTGGCAAATAACAGGAATGGAACTAGTTACAGAGGCATTAAAACGGGCAAAACAAAGAGGCATGACATACAAAATTATTTTAATAATTATTAAAAATTTACGAAAAAAATTAAACTTAACTATAACAAATATTGAATGAAACAATAGACGAGAAGCGAATGAAAACACGGATAGATGTCATAAATTAGAGCGGCGACAAAATTGGCATATAACTATGGAAGGACTCTGGAATTCACGAAAAGGCAACGAGCGTTTTGTCATCCAAACAACGCATAAATCGGAGTAAATAAGGACATTTTTTGGGACAAATATTTGCAGCATGATCGCGACAACACGACGCTAATAAATAAACTGTGTGCTTTGTCAATAATATATATTAATTTCCTTCGCTTATCTTCAATAACATGAAATCGTCATAATTCATGTGTAATATAGATTCAGTGACTTCATTAAATTATTATTCCCTTTTAAATTTAAAATACTCTTTCTTAAAACGTCCTGAAAAGTCCGTGCAGTCAACCCTCCAAGATTAGAACTCAAAGCTTTTTCTGCTAAGAGTTACCTTGGGAGTATCACCTTAATAGCGTGGTTCCACATATCTGGGATATTGTACATCCGCGGTTTAGTTTGGGGAGAAGGGGATAAACTCAAGGATATCAGTTTTGTTGGGTAAGTAAGAGGGTACAGCAGGCTGTTTTGAGACAGTTACTAATGGCACTGTTTACAAAACGCCACCTGCTGTGTTTGAAAGTCTCTGCATGGACAAAGGCGTCTGGCAGAAGGTTCTTTAGCCACGCATGTAAAGAGGACAGGCTGTTTCTGTAGCGTGCACATGTGGGTTGACACATCGTAACTTGGAGCTAAAAGTGACTCTTTGGTCTCCACAGCGCTACACTTCATTCCAAACCTTGTAAAAGGCAATATGTATATCACATTAGAATTTTCGTGTGCAATATCGCAAAGAAATTTTACGAGTCAAAATACAAAAAGTGAGTTGCGATACTCAGCGACACTTAGTACCAAAACTTCACATAAGTTAAAAATTATCTCGACGAGGTTTTTCTTTTTATGTGCTTTTATTATAAGGCAGGGAAACCGATGCAAATAGAGAAGCGATTAGCGACAGGTATTGCATAACGCTCCCTCCTGATTATAGTAAAAATAACCAACTGTCCTATTAACTGTAGAATGGCACAGGATATTTTTACTCGAGTCGCCCATTATTTTTACTCTACTAAGTGCAAATGTATCGTAAAAGCGTGTTAACCCTTCAAATCCTAACATCAATATGCATATTTGCCACACTATTTTTCTATGCAATTATTATGATACTAACATGGAAAATATGCCTAAGACTGGAGAGATTCTTCAGCTAGTGATCCTTTTCTATATTCTCATGATCCTTCTGTTTGATTTAGCTGTGAAACTGTAATGAGAATATCGATAATATAGACGACAGCTGAGCCCCCTTCCTCTACCGCAAGCTTTGTAAAAAGGTTTGAATTAGTCAAAGATAAAAGTAATATAGGATATCTCTCCACACTTGGAAAAATTGAGAAAAAAAGAGACCTCCAAACCCTGGAAGTGGCTGGAACATAAATTCCTTTGATGGTATTACAACAATTTTTTGCTGTTTCATCATCACTTACAATAAAATGAAGTACAATTAGCCAGCTCAAGATGGCAGAAAGGCGGCCATTTCAAAGTTAAGTTGGCCGGCTACTGACTAATAGACTTCGCTAAATCTGGATTATTAACACCCTAAAATCATGCTCCCTAAAAAAGGGCGGAGAGGACTTACTTTTTAAGATCTTCTGTTGTGTTAATGTCCACAAAGAAGGTCGGTTCACACAGTAGTTCTGAAAAAAAACAAAACAAAACAAAAAAACAGAAAAAACAAAAAAAAGGTACATGATAATGAGGCTATACAATTTTCAGAAGTGGTTAATTAGTTAAACAGTCCATACGTTGGGTAAAATTTTCACCCGTAGCGAAACTCTTTGACAATCTTGTGGCAGGAAGAATAGCAGGAGGAAAAAAAATGAAAAGAAAAGAAATAAAAGACCCACCACGTTCTTTGCAGACATCAACACAGGATTTCCCAGCTGCACCCATCAATAGCATCATTTCTGATAATGGAGGCCACCGCTCGATATGCTCACAAAAGTTCTGAAGAAACAAAAAAAGACACATCTGTAAATTTATTTGTACCCTTCCTTATCCGTCCAGCACAATAAATTTAAATCCCATCCTCAACAACTCTTTATGAAAATATATGAGCAAAACCGTGCAGGATTTTCCAAAAACCCAAAAACTGAGCACTATTTGTTCAAGATAGATCTTCGAAACCGTTCAAGTCCTCTGCTTTTTTTTCCGTCAATAATTATCAATTTTCACGCTTTTTTCAACCGACCTTCCCTTGCTCAGTCTAGTTTTTCATGCTTCACTACTTACAGTGGCAGTCAATCTCTTCATCAACATTGATTACATTATAATAAATTATAAAAAGTATGATCTCAAAATCCCTCATTGGAACGTTTCTTTCTAAGAGCGAGTGAATAATAAAGACAACTTCATTTCTAACTTTATTTCGAACTATGATGTAGTTACTTTCCGAAAGTGCATCAGTTACTTCCTTTACAGAATAAGATGTACAGGCTGGAAACAGCGGGGCCTGATAAACTCAACTTGCTAAGTAACGTACATGTACACCTTGGTACTCACATAATATTCTGTGAAAGCATTCACGCGTTCCAACATGCCTTTAGGCGTCCATTCACGAGGAAGGTAAGGCTTGACCTACAAGAACGAGTAATTCAATCGATCAAACAGGTGGTCTGATTTTCCACTCATCAGCCAATCATTCAGTCCATCAATCACACCATGACTCAGTCAGCCAGCCAATTAGTCGGTGACTCAGTCACTCACTCAGCCGGTCAGTCTATTAGTCACCGAGACAAACAGTTGGCCAGGTTTAGTCTGGCACTCGTTCACAAACCACCCACCAACACAAAACCAGTCAACAAGTAGATCAATTTGTTAGCCCTCAGCTCGTATTCAGACAGTCATCAGGTCAGTCAATCTCGATCAGTCATTCCTTCAGTTCAAGTCTCTTTGCAGCGATTTAGTTGGTTAGTCAGTCGTTTAGAGAGCTAGCCAGTCAGTCGTCAATCGGTTGTTCATTCAGCCACTAAGCAGATAAATCTGTCGGTTAGACAGCCATCATGTCAGCGAGTTAGTAAACCAGTCAACCAGTTACTCAATAAACCGAACAAATAAATGTAGTCAATCAGTCAGTCAATCACTCATTCAATCACTCACTCACTATTTCCAAGACAATCTCTCAATCGGTCATTCTAAGACAGCCAGTAACTCCTTCATCCTTGTTTTATTTTTATTTTTTTGCGCTCCTACCCTCGCGCGAGCTCGCACTTCGCACCACCTGGCCATTTCCAATCGACTGAAAAACGCGAAAAAATTACGCCTATTCTGCAGGCTACCTTGAATATATCTCTCTAAGATGTCACATCGAGACTGTCTCTATCAAAATCTCCCCTTCAATCTCATCACTCTTCTAAATGATTGTTTTTACTATATGAAGAACTGACACTTTATTCGCAAAGGCGTAAATACCTCAGTTCTTAACATCTCCTTCACAGCCTCTTCCACATGTGAAAGATTAGAAATATCAACAGTGAACACATGCGGCTTTCCGATGAAGACTTCGGCGTAAGGATGTTGTGATGTAAGCTAAAAAAAAACAAATGACTAATATTACCGCAAATCCTCGTGATGTTGCTTAACAATAAATAAAAGCTTAAAAGATTACACATTTCCCTCAGCGATGTTTCCCAGATTAGCAATGGTAATTGAACTGAGTAAAGTGCAAGTTGGTCTGAAATTAAACGCGTGATTTCAAAATCAAACTAGTGCTCAACGCAAGTTTGATAAGATATCAACCACTTTATTACTTATATTTTGAAATCGCAAAAGTGAGTCTTATTAGTCCAATATATTAAGCTGGTTTGCAAAATATTGCAGAAGTCACCTCTCGTTTTCCTGCAATTTGATTGATTTCTTTAATCAGGTCTTGAAATTTGATTGATTGTGTTTCAGTAAAGCTGTCTCTTGGCTGGAAAAATGATGCAATTTAGAGCATAAAATGGTGCGATTTGTGAATAAATCGCATCAGCGAGAGCCATTCAGAATTCAAGATTACATGTGACTTAAAAATGGATGTAATAAAACAGAAAATCAAATCCGAGTCACACCCGCCAACACAAAAATAGTCGATCTCTTTCATTAGACTTCCGCAGAAGCCTTTGCAAACCTGACTTCATCTAATAAAAATATCATCTCAGTCTCTTACGTTTCTGAGTGTTGGTTTAACCTTGAAGAATCTTGTGTTAAGGCGATTATGCGGAGGGTCAAACTACAAAATAATAATTAATAATAACAATAATATACTTTTCAATTTTCATTATTCATATGTAACTCCACCAAAATCCAAATCCTAACTACATGCTAAATTGTTAAAGAGAAAGATCTTTTTGACATCACATAATGCAAAAAAAATTATATCTTTGTTTTATCTCGGTATATTCGGAAATTAACAGAGGGAAAAAAATTATCTAAACAATAATAATAATAATAATAATAATAATAATAATAAATTTAAAAAATGATGATAACAACGTCAATGATAATGATGATGATAATGATGATGATGACGACAAAAGTAATCATAACGATAATAGATAAATATTTTTTCGTCTTGTAACGAGAGTGGGACAAAAAAAAATATTCTGAGTCCCCATGAGGAATAGAACCTTAGAACTTCCAAAGGTCTCAGTTTTATAATAAGAATAAAGATGCAAAAATAACAGCACTCTCTATATAACCTTTTTCCTTGCAATTACCTTGGCATTTAAAAAAATACATCCTTGTGCTATTGCCTCCAAGGGTGCAGGGCCTTCATACGGAAATCCGAGACCTATGAAAACCTGAAATGATAAAATATGACATCAGCGCTTTGATCAGGCAAGACAAGGCTTCACCGTCAATAATTGAAGAAATGTTGCACCTTTATGGAGTTTTTTTTTTTTTTAATTAAAAAAAATAACATCTATGTTAGCGTAGAGAGAGTGGTATGTTGCTCGTACCAATCAGATCGTTTTAGATCGTTTTCGCCGCATTATGTATCTCACGCACCAATCAATCGTTTTTGTTCTTTGGTTTGAGCAAATTTCAACGGGTAATGTATTAGGAGAGAGCTTCGTAAAATGGAATTATCTATTAGAATGAAAAATATTGTTTTCTGTGTTTTTAACGTGTATTTTACCGCGCTTTATGGACAGATGAAAAGATGGCAAAGAATAGTCCTTCACGACGAGAGTGAGTGGAAAAATTTTAAATCAAATATTGCTTGAGGTATTGATGAATTGCACCAAACATTTTGATTTGACCTGTTCTTTAACGGCAGGCTGTGTTGCAATATTCATGATTCGTTGAGTGTGCCGATTATATTTTTCCGGATTGGTTTGCTCGGTGCTATATCTTGATGAATGTCTAATTAAAATTAACTATGGACGATTTTGTCTATGTCTATGTTTTCGATGCTTGGAGAAAGTGATCTTGTGGAGTCGTTTGTGTTTGGCCAGGGACGAATTCAGATACCCATCGTTAGCATGTTTATTTGATTTTAATATCTGGAGTGGATGATTTACGGAGGTACGTAAATATGATGCGATCTACTAACGTCGAAAATATATCAAGTCGAAGGAACAGTTTTGGTCTCGGTCCGCATTTTTGTTAATAAAATAAACACACACCGCTTAAAAAGATGATAATAAGGACCACGTGCAAAGCTGTCGATTGTTTCTCGAATATTGCGCGTGTTAAGTATTCAAGAGTGACATCTCGCTGACATCTACATTTACATCCACTTTCATTACGTTGGTAAAATCTGTACAGACATCACGCCAACCAACTCGCGCGCAAAGTGAGACGACTATATAAAGGTTTAAAATTATATTACGATCGATTTTCATCAAGCAATGGGCCAGGAATATTCTACAATAGTGCAAATAATCGTGACAGCTGATCGCGCAAAGCGATTGCGTGACGCTCGGTAAGTTGTAAGATGACATGTTATCACATACCAGACGAAAAAAACTCTTTAGATTCTCAGTCTGCATTCTGTACCCACTCTGCAGTCTGCAGTCTACATTTTGTACCTACTCTACACTTTGTATCCGGTCTGCAGTCTGCAATCTGCATTTTGTAGTAACAGGTATCCGTAAGACCAAATAAAACGTTTATTTTTTGGTTACAGTTGTTCGCACAACACACACACAACCTACCACAAAATACCTGTGTGTGAGTTAATTCGACATTTTCGTTCTCTTCCGCGTTAATGCTCTTCTTTCCTTTTGTAAGAATGTAGACATCACTTACAATGTTTCAAGTAATCCACCCACCCCCCAAAAAATAACTCTTGCATGCATAGCATGCCTATGTCTTCTAATGTCTACTTAACTCTTTTACTCGCAGGAGTGACCAGTATCTCATTCCTCCTTGAAATATAATCATTGAATCAAGCACTTAAGATTATGAGATAAGAGGAAATGATTTCCAATTAGAGAAGTTCTTGATTGTTAAAAGAACACCCTCCTTGTTAGAACCGAAATGCATAGAAAGTAGCAAGGAGAATATGCATAATTATGTTGGGTATGTATGGTTTACGCGGGTTGTCTGCAAGTAATTACTGTAGATTGCGCCAAAACAGCGTCCCTATTTCAGTCTGTATTAAAATAAAAGTATATCGCTGACTTTTGATCCAACGTCTTAAGCCTCTTTTTTTCAATTTTCGTGTTCATGCCTACTGGACAGAGGTGCCTGCTACATAAAGGATATCTTATAGGGGTAAATATGTGAACAGAAAATTAGTACTTAAATTGGATTATACGTTATTCAAGGTTGCTCTGTATGCACTCCACATACTCACCTTAGTTTCCTGTAAAAGTTTTTCCAAGTCGGGTTTACTAAGAATACCATGCGCTATCACGTACTCAGGGACATTTTCTTTGATCTCTGCTTCCTGAAAAGAAAAGACACCAGCAATTTTAATCACTAGTAACAATCTACAGGAAAAAATCATTATACATGCATTTTTGGTAAAGTTAAAGTTGCAGTTTGTATCATAATGCGGACTGCTTCTACTCCTGGAAAGAGATTAGAGACCAACGGTGATTAATCCACACTCGAGATGGTAAACTGAGCAGTTATGTTCGATCAAAGGTAAGGTTGCCTATTCCCTCAACCTTGGGTACAAATTTCTCTTCCTCTGACCTTTATCTCCATTATGATATCAAAGATGGAGGCAAAACTGTTCACGCAGAAATACTGAGAGCTTATTGAGGCACTGTCGCTAATAGCACTATATAACCTTAACTTATTTTCTTCAAACATTTTTCTCGATTAACATTTTTCTCTCTCTGCAAACATACCGACATAGCAAAGAACGTTCCATGTATCTCTAAATATTTATGTAACGTGTCAAGGTATTCTCTTTTTCCCTGCAAAGGAAGAAACGATACAAAAAATAAAAGGAAATTTGAACAGGGAGGCTTCAAGGATATCACCCTGTAAATTAGTTATCAAACAACAGTAAAGGATGCTTCGATCGTTTCAGCTTTATTTTTTCCTTTTCTTTTATTTTTTTTCATCGTCACATAGCGTTTGTATTCTCAAGTGAATTGGCATATGGGTAACCATGAAGGCATGTGCGTCAGTCATCTCCTCCCACACCTTACGTGTGAGGTGTCACACAACATTTCGTTTAATAATTAAGACCTTCTATAGTAAATCCTTCGCTTCCTTTACTAGTAGGCGCCGGCTCCCATTCAAACTAGCTTAAAGCTGACCTTGGCCAGCCTGCATAAATATCGCCAGTAAATAAATAAAGTAGCAGCGACGTCTCTCTCTTCAAATATTTTGTGCTTCTCTAAAAGCGTTAATAAGATCTCCTTTAAGATCAAGGTTTCTGTGTAACAAGTTTTGAGAGGGGATTTAGGATGGCTAGGATCGGAGGCTTTTGCACGTGAAGTGGTCTTGGGAAAAAAGGCTGCTTTTCGTATCATTCTATGGTTGCTGTTGTCACTCATCTCTCCCCCCCCCCCTTATCCCGTGCAAGGTTAATGAACTTGCAATAAAGGACAATTACAGAGGGACTCTTTCGAAGCTTTTCTTAGGCGAACAACAAGGACACAGATTGTGCGTCGTTAAAAATTTGCAGTCCGTGTTCATCGTGCAAATCCTATACAATCCTTGATCTCTCTTGGCCTGTTATTTTCCCTTTGGATATAACAATTTTCAAAACTTGCCAATGAATATCTAGTAACTTGTCAAAATATCAGACACAGTACGTTCATTTTTGTGCGAACTTGGCGATCGCTGCAGGCACGTCGCCAAAACAAAGCACACACACAACCAACTCTTTTTTCCGAGACACTATTCATATGTTTTCCTGGATGATCGAAGGAAAAAAGTTACTAATACTAGAGAGCCATTGGACCAGCTTAAAAATCCTTACCTGCCAGAATTGAACGTCTTTGCCATAAACGAGTCCAATCGGTTTTTTCTTCAATGGTTTAACGTCTTCTGGAATAGGTTCACCCACCACAAAGCCCAAAAACAAGTTATCTGGACTATGAGCTGATGACCAGAGCAAATAGTAATTACATTTCTGGGAGCGGGATTATGACTCAGTTCCCTCAGAAAGGGAAAAATCAAATTTAGTTCCTTACTAATTGGCTATAAACCTCTTACGCCTTCGTATTTATTATGATCCTTTTCGGCTCTAGTTTACGCGCAAGTGTTACAACTGCTTGTAGTATGTTCTTTTGTTTGTTGCTCCTATTTGACGGCATCCGAAAGCGTTGCAAGAAGGGGTAAAAAAAATACAAACAAATAAGATAAGAGGAGGATAAAAGTGACCGTACTCCTAAAAAATTGTCTATTTACATGTCATCGTGTATCATTTTCCTAAACCGTCTAAAACATCAGAGTATAAATCGTTGCAATTTCCTCAAATGTGGTGGCACTAACTCCTTTATTTTTCATTGATTATTTTGAAGAGTTGTAATCAGACAGTGTAAGCAGACAGTTGGCTGTAATCGGACAGTTGAAGCAGCCAATCATAAATCCACTTAGCTCATAGAAACCAAATTTCCAAAACTGGAGGAATTTTTAACTTTAGACATTATCTCCATTCGAGATATTTGTTTTAGATCTATTTGTTTTGTCTAAAATTGTAATGGTTAGGATTTATTGGTAACACGACTTCGTGTCATCCTCTATTTACAGGTAATCGTGTCGTCGTCTATTTACAAGTCATCGTGTATCATTTTCCTTTACCGTCTAAAACATCAGAGTATAAATCGTTGCAATTTCCTCAAATGTGGTGGCACTAACTCCTTTATTTTTCATCAATTATTTTGAAGAGTTGTAATCAGACAGTGTAAGCAGACAGTTGGCTGTAATCGGACAGTTGAAGCAGTCAATCATACATCCACTTAGCTCATAAAAAACCAAATTTCCAAAAATGGAGGAATTTTTAACTTTGACATTATCTCCACTCGAGATGTTTGTTTTAGATGCATTTGTTTTGTCGAAAATTGTAATGGTTAGGATTTATTGGTAACACGACTTCGTGTCATCTTCGTGTCTGTAATTATACTCGTGATCAACAAATAGGACTCCCGCTACGCGGTTGTCCGTTTTTGTTAATCACTCGTATGATTACAGACCTAGTTTGACTCCACTCAGTCCTATTACCATTAATAATCAGTTTTGTAAAAGCAACTTGAATAAACAGTATGGAAAGTCGCTTACGAAACATCGTCATGATCTGCCGAAGATTGAGATCAGCTCGCGCCCACATTGTCTTGTCGCCAGGTATCACGCCTTCATATGCTCCATAGTTAAACTGTGCATCCGTTCCAAAGGAATCAAGAATTCTTATTCGGCATCTAGGAGTGGAATTACAAAATACCCACGTTAAACGTAAGACAAGGACTAGTTGAACGGTTTACGAAGAACAAAAACAAAAAAAGTGTAAACTATCGGATAAATCCAAAGATCGAGGGCGACAAAACAAGTGCAGAGTAATGAAAATGACGAGATGTAAAATCATCGTAATCACCCTACGACCAACCGGATGAACGGAAACGGCACCATCCGAAAAAAAACAGTAACATAAAACCATTCCAGCGACCGCTGACTAAGCGAATAAACGAAAGAAGGAAAGAAAGAAAGAAAGAAAGAAAGAAAGAGCAAAGGAACGAAGGAACAAGTTAGTTCAAACATACATCTGACCTCTAACCCCTACACTTACATATAAGGCGACAAATTTGGAGTAATGTGCATCAGCATGTAGGTAAGCCCATTGTAGTCTGTGTAAATCAGGTCAAACTCAGGCTCAAATACATCAGAACAACCAGGTGACTTTGGAGGTGACATATAACTTAAAAAGAAACGTACAAAGTGTCAAGTAAACAAGCGCAGGATATCACTTATATAGATTTTCATGATCCATAAAATATTTTTTATGGCGCTCGATTGGTCTAAACGCATCTCGTTACCGAATATTCCCCAGCTATAACTACGGGATATCCAAGAATATTCACGATTAACAACCCTGACCCTAAATAAAAGCAAACCTTACGCCCACTGCGATAAAACTACATTTGAACCCTAACTCCCAAGATCTGATTGTTAATTCTCCCTTCTAGCTGCTACACATTTCCTTGTAAATCAGTTATGAGAATTTAGTGTTAGATCATAATAACAACTTTTACCTGATTAGTTGGGGTTTTCTCAATACCTGTTTGCAGGATAATGTATGGATATTAGAAGGACAAGTTCCATGTTAATCACTTCTGAGAGTTAAAGGGTTAAAATATAATTCAAGATAAGAGAGCGTTTTATGATTGCTACACAGGAAGGAAACCATAGAAGTCGTACCAGGAAACACTCAAAAAGAAGCAAACAGTAAGCTGTTCGTATAATTTTTTTCTCGCGCGCTGCAAATATTTAAAGAATGACAAATAAAAACAGCCTCTATTTAGCGCGAAAACATGCATGTATATTTATCCTTCGCTCTCGAATATTGTCCGCGGACAAATATCTGCGCATATTTTCGCGCTAAATAGAGGCTACTGTTAATATAATTCGGCATGGACACATCTTCAAATGCTCCAACATCAACACAATCGTTGTGGATAATAACCAGGCCCAGGTTGTTCAAATCTGGGTTAAGATAACCCAGGGTTAGCATGAAATTTGATTTCAGGTCTGAAAGCTTTAAAAGAAAATTCACTTCAAATCTTTTTGCTTGCAATTTGATCACTGAATGTTCTAAAATTAAATTTAACCCTGGGCTAGCACTAATCGGCCTTTGAACAACTGGCCCTGACGTACATATCAAAAGTAACCAATGAGAAGGCAAGTTTAACAAAAGGAAAAAATATATAAAACACGACAGAGAAATTTTGAATCGAGTGTCGAAAAGGCAAAACCAAAGTTATCTCAGAAAAAAGATCAAAATCATCAGTAGCCAACTAGGAATCAAAGTGGAAAAAAGCAAACTCCTTGAGGTACGGGAAAATGTGAATGACAAAGTCGCGATTGTTTGAATTTATGCATATGATTGGTTGAGAAGATGGCGGGAGAGTCTTCTGGACCAATCATGAAGCAGTGTAAATTAAAACTAAAGCGATGCCGGATTACTTTCAATGAAAAATTGCTCTAAGGGGTTAACGCACGTGAGAAAGTGGCAATTTAATCATTACTGTCTTAGTCTTAAAAATTTGATGGGTTAAGAAGATTGCGTAATTATTCTTTACCAATCGCGGAATAAAAAGGCACGACCCATCAAATTTTGAAGTATGTTTGACAACGCTTTTCGATCATATGTCACAAAACCAATTCCAAAGAACGTACATGTAATCACAACTCTGAACCAATCAGAGTGTAGAAAAAGGACACAAGACTTGAAGTAAGCAATAGAAGCAAACAGCCTGAAGCGCGGGAAAATGAAAGTGACAAAGTCACGATCAGTTTTAGATTTGCGTTTGAAGCGAAACGAAGCAAAAGGAAACTCGACACTCAGTTCCTAACTGCTTTAAAATTGCACTGAAATTGCTCCACTCAAACTTACCTCTGGTACGTAGTGGAGTTCACGGAGAGTGTCACGTCATGTCCCAATAAGTACAACGCCGCTATCAGATCGCTCCACTGCACCATCTCTCCCAGAGGTGCACCGGTGAAAGCCATATCCAGCCACATGGGTTGATAAGCATACGTGCCGAAGAAAATAAAAATCTATGGAAAGAGTTAAAACAGTGTCTTAGTCAACTTGTCCCTTGCTATTGTTTCGCGTTGGAGAATGAAATCGTTTCCTTGAAAATGCAGATCAAGGTTCTTCGAGTGTCCCAAAACTAGAATCTTGATACTCAACTCTCAAGAAATGACTACCTTTTTGACGTGATGTTTCCTGCGTAGCGATCCCTCTGCTGTGAACTGTTTGGCTGCTGCCACCCATTGAGGCCACATTCTTGTGATACGGTCACGCATCCACCGCAAATTCAATTTATTTAGGGTGTCTATGAATGCTTGATCTAACTCAAATCTCATTTCTGCAAGCTAACAGAAGACAGTAATTTGACCCTCGGCAACACGTCTATTTAAGTGTATAGTCAAGTTCATCGACGGCAATACTCTTGACCACAGTTGATGTTTACATGAAAAGACGGAAATGGAAGGTCTGTGGTTCCCATCTTCAAGCTAGGCTCAAATTTGTTTCCCTTACTCCCCATTCGTGACTTTCTTTTCCCTTCATTTTATTGGATATGTTTTGCAGTAACCATTGTTATAGTAAGGCACATGTAAGTCTATACCTGAGGCAAATGGCCCATTATTCAGGGAGACTCCTGGTTTCCGTAGCAATAATCAAATTTGGCTATTTTCTGCGCCTTACTCGATGAAATTATGGTTCATATGACCAGGCGTTTTCTGTAGTGACTGTAACTGTGCTGCCTTAGCAAGCGCAGTCTAAATGCATTGTAGGCGAGCGAGCAATAAAGATGGCGGACTGAAAGGTGTTTTTGTTTCTCTGCGGATACTCCGCTTGCATCGAGGACTTGTTTGTGGTTCAGACATTCTGAATCAGAAAGACCTGTGTTTGGGCTAAGGTTGTTTGGTTGCATTCTCTAACAGTACCTCGCTCAAACCAGGATTACAAGAGAGTTCCACAACAGAAAACAACCTGATGAGGTGCCGGAGGGTAACCTATGGCCACTTGTGAAACATTTCTAGATCATGTGTACTTGTGCGTATTTGAAAAAATTGACTACGCATATGTGCTTGAAGCACATATCAAACCTAATTGTGACAACTGAAGAACATCTTAGTTTGTGAATAGACAATGATACATGGGCGCGAGTAGATATGGAATTTCTCTTCGATTGTTGAAGTCGATAGCTCACGGGTAAGCGCAGCGAACGAGTAAGATGTCGAGTTGAATACGACTTTATCATATAAACACGATTTTGTTTATCATGTAAACACAATAGCCCTTTACTGACGAGAAAAGTCAACTTTATTAATGAATGAAAATAAATGAATCGACAATCCCCGAATAACAATCGTGCGTTGGCGCTAACTCTTAGGATGGAAAAACGCGTTGAATCATGATTATAAAAACAACAATGGACGTAATTTCCAATTCACAAAATTATCATTCATAGAGTTTGTCCTCACTGACAGAAGAAGTCTTTCAGGTACACGGCTAAAATCGGCGAGGGGAAAATCTTCCAGTTGTCGATTTTCATTCTCAGCCGCGAGAAATGCCATAACCAAAGCCACTGAGTACGTAACTTTCGGTTTTTCTTTTCGTGGGTGTTTTCTTCCCCTTCTAAGAAGGTTTGAACGTCACTGTCTGTGAGCGATAAGGGTTTTCTAGTGTTTTAGCCGCCATAATCTGAGAAAGTTTCGACAATCTACCTGTAATGAGAATGGTGAAGGCTTTGCCGTTCATTCAACCTGAACGAGTGGCGTGAAAAGCGATTCAAGTTTCAGCAGCTGATATCAAACACACATGAAAAAATATCGTATTTTTTCACGTGCGTTCTTACGGCTTTTCTCGGGGCTGGAAATCCTTGTAGAACACTGTAGGTTATATTATAAATGAATTTTATCGTGTAAACTACTGTGTTCTACAAGACTTTCAGGCCTGACAAAAGCCGTAACAACACAGCTGACAAAATACGCTATTTGTCCACGTGTGTTTTATATCGCCAATCAGCTGCTGACACGTCATTCACCTTTCGCGCCACTCGTTCAGGTTGATGAAACCAGGGTCGTTTGTCGGAATTTTCTCAGATTATGGCTGCTACAACACTAAATAATCCGTAACGCTTATAATTACCGAACGTAACGTTTAAAACTTCCTAGAAGAGAAAGAATAATCAAAATTCGAAAAGAAAAACGTATTCAGTGGCTTTTGTAATGGCATTCCTTGCGGCTAAGAACGAAAATCGACTTCTGGAAGATTTAAGGCACGGGCCGCTGTTGGCTGTGTACTTGGAAGATTTCTTCTGTTGGTAAGGGCAAAGTCAATAACTGAGAATTTTTTATAAGGAAAATTACTTCCATTGTTGTTTTCGTAGTGATTCAACGAAATTTTTCATGTTGAATCTTAGCGCCAACGCTCTTTGCAATTTTTATTTAGGACTGTCGATCCCTTAATTTTCATTCGTTAATAAAGTCGATTTTTCGTGTCAGCGAAAAGCTATTGTGTTTATACGATAAACAAAATAATACATGGTTGTTTGTAGATATGGAATTATTCTTCTCTGTACTCTAACCTTGGGTTCTTTGGTACTTGTACTGTTTCTCCGCCGCCATGGCAGCAATGGACAAAATCTTTCAACCTGTGACGGAAATTGCAACACCAATGTGCATCAGTGCAGTAGACAGTAGAACAGAAGGTGAATAAGGAAAAGGTGTGCATTTAGAAAACTGCACACTTGAGGTTAAACAGAAATTTAAACTAAGAACATACCTCACTAAGGTAAATAAGGGCAGAGCAAAGGTTCTCTGGCTTCAGTTTGTGTCTATTAACATAGCATTCTGCATTTGTTCCCCAAAGTTGCTGCATGTACTGAGAAGTTGATTGAGGCAGTGAGTTAGTGATAGTCACATCTTATATAATGTCAGTAAAGTGTTAATACATAATTATAATTAATGTAAAGATCTTTTAATACACAACATGCAAATAACACATAAAAAATTCTTAGGAACTGCAACAAAGACCCTTGAAAAAAAGATACATTTGTGTTCTATTTGGGATTGTGCGAAATTAAAAAAATTAAAACAAACAATTGGACAAAACAAGCTTGTCATTTAACTTGCAATAAATTTCACAAAAAATCAAGAAAAGAAATGATCCTTGGCTGCAATTTTAGCAGATGCAGAATTGGAACAAAGACAAAATTTACTTCATTATAAGTTAACTGTTGTCAAATTCATCTAAGGAATAGATTAAAACCCCCATAAATGTACCATGTGACCAACGTGTAGCTTTCTATCTGTCAGTGGGCTGTTATTAAGTTTCCAACTATATCTGGGAGACAACCACTCTTAAAGTCCTGGTTGTGTAACAGGTAAAAACCCAAAAAGAAACATTTTATATACCATTAGTCAGTCCTACATGTACATGCCAACATTAGGAAGTATGTACTAAATGTAAGTTCTGTTAAATATCTTACTTGAATCTTTGATTCACAAAATGGGAACAACCAGTCATGTGGAACCTGGCATTCTTCTTTGCTGATCTTTTCTGAGTTAAAGAAAATGAAAGAATGGGAACAACGACAAATCAGAGGAACATGTCATGAATAGCTTCTATAACAACTGCAGTACCTGTATATCTAAAACTGTGTTGTAACTTATATATTATAATATAGTGCATCACTAAATCAAACTGATTTATCTCAGGACTGACAAAATCATTATCAACATGCATGTATCAGACTGACTGAATGTCACTGACTGCCAGAGTAACTGACTGTCTAGTATTCTGGTTTAGACTGAACAACTTTTAGAATGACAAACAGACTGACTGAACAAATAACTTAATCACTGCATGACAGACAGTGACTGACACTATTATGATGCTATAATGTAACTGACTGACTGGTTAACTTATTGACTAGGTGATTAACTTAGACTGACTGACTCAGATGTCTAACTGACTTAAATGCCTGATTGACTGATCGACTGACTCACTTACCAATTAACTGATCAACTTATCAGACTGACTGACTAAACTGACTGACCAAATCACTGACTGACCAAATCACTGACTGACCAAATCACTGACTGACCAAATCACTGACTGACCAAATCACTGACTGACCAAATCACTGACTGGGCATTTGCGGACAGACTGACTCATTAACTGACTGATTTAACTAAATGCTTGCTAGTCACTGCTTGATAACACTATGGAATAACAAGCAAAAGGTCCACTGAGCAAAAAATTATTATGCAAATTATTCTTATCATTATAGGTCTAAAATTTAAAGCACCTGAATTCTCAACATGGTGTTCAAGCGTTTCTACTCTCTGAATGACATCTTCATTGTTTGAATCATATGCAACAATAAATAATTAAAGCAAAATAAGTATAATGATGAAAACATTTTGTACAAGATTGAACAAAAAAAAATGTTATTACTTTTAAACTATAATCATTATTATCATTAGTATCATAATTATTGTAATAAACTGACAGGGAGAATTTGTTTAACAATCAGGAAATTCTTAAATTGGTCATCATGCATTTCCTTTATAGCAATGACCTATTCATTTGATTCAAGGGTGCTAATGTAAGAAGAAATTGGAAGCGAGTCACTGTTAGGAGTTAAAAGGTTAAGATAGCATAAATTATAATGAACCAACGCTATAGTTGCTATGCAGCACAGAGTGGACACCGGAGAATAAAACAGGGAGGGAGGGAGGTAGACAGTGCAAAAGGAGAGTAACTCGGCTTAGAACAGACTGTACTATTGACTGTGATGACCTAATAGTGCAGCTATGACAAGAACAGATGATGATGTGATAAAGATAATATCTGTTAAAACATATTCTAAGCAACCCACTACAACCCTTCCTCCTTTTTTTTTTTTTCATTCAAAGCCATCATCATGCCTCTTTCTTTGCAATACCCCCTATCAATGTAGCACCTAGGTATTCATCAATCATTACTCCAAAGGAAACACCCATTCCAGGTCTTTTTTTCCCCTCATTCAGTCACAAATCCCCATCTGGGCTTTAAAATTAATGCTTGGAGTAGGGCATTCGAGCAGTCGTTCAGCACTCTGCACATCGCTGAGTTTGTTACTACCTTTGTAACAAACTCTCCACCAGCAAGCCATTCAAGCAATACAGTATATACTTTTCACATCTGACACTGACACTTTATTTGTTTCAGATACATTAAGAAATAAGATTTTGATATGTTGTGTTTGCGAATTAGTTGTGTGCAGATTTAAAATCTATTGATGACAACACTTTGGCACAGTAATTACTATTTCTTGAGGTCTTTGCTATCATATGACACTGACACTTTACTTTTTAATACATTTTTTTAAGATGTTTGCAGATGTAATGTATCTATTGACGAAAACACCTGTTTCAGGCATATACACATAAGATCTTGTTTTGTTCTTCTAATGTTACGCTGGAGTCCAGTTTAAAATTTAAGAATTAGTTAAAATTACTTTTCCTATTGTTATGGAAGTCAGATCAAATTGTACCAATTGGTTTGATTCATTCTGCTGGTAATAAACAAAAGTTGAAATACAAAAGTTTCAAATTATAAAGTGCAAGATTATAATTTTGCTGGGGTGTGTAATCATACAATACAATACATTTTATTGTTCGTAAAAGGGACTAGGTTACCTAAGGTGCTTGAACTATCCCTGGATGTAAATAACCGAAAATGACATAGAAACGTCTTTTCATTCATTTTTATTCTTCTCAAGTAAAGACATGTGGAAACAGAGTAATTTAAAAGCTAAACTGAATTTTTGAAAAATTCTCAACTCAAACTATGCGACGTTAAATGAAAATCCGCGAAAATGATTGAGAGGAAAAGCATTTATTTCACGCACTGGAAAAAATATGCAAATTCCCAGACGACTATTCGATCTTGTCGCGCGGCTGTAATACACTTTCACAGCTGCATATCAAGTGACACAGTTGTCGTAGTTTTGTCATCATCATTAGGCAACGGACATAATCCATATTTAAACATTACAATCAAGTTTCATCGAAAACGAAAAGCCCGAGTACACGCAGATGTGCGTCGAGTTATATTTAAATCTCATCTTTAAACTTTTACTGTCAGTCGGTCATAATACTTTGGTGGTGAAATATCAATAAATTTCCTTTTTAATTTGTTTGTCCCACTCCAAGATAACGTGGCCTTATAGTACATTTTTCCAGAAGAGCTTCCCAGTTGCTAAGTCAACATTGTGTTAAACTATTTACATGTATATGATACTAATACTTGCTTCGTAGCTGTCAACCACGTTGAACTTGAAAACAGGCATCCCTTATAGGAGATTTCGAGGGCTCTGCTACAATATCCCACTCTCAAAGACTTAAACAGACGCAACCATGGTATAGAGCTCGATAAGTTTACTATAAGTTAACGAGCGCATCAAATAATCACTCCGCGTTTATGACATTGTTCGTTACTATTCGTTTCAGTTTTGCAAGCGTGCATAAATTAGGACCGGAGTATTAAGATAATAACAGGAAAGCACAGAGGCCAGCTGTCTTTCGTTCAATCTGTGTGAGGTTTATACTTATATTTCTGCTTCTTTCAATCAAAAAACAGATTTATTAATTTGTAAAAAATTAAGTTCAACAGATCTTAAGACTACAACGCGCGGGCCGGTGGAAAGGTTGTTTTCGCTTCAGCTGATCTGACAATTAAATTTAGTAAAATAAAGGTAAAATTATCGAGTACGATATTTTGATAAAGAGGTAGTGCCCGTTCTCTGGCGGTGGATAGGTCTTATCTCCAAGGATGATACGAGCACAATTTAACGCGATCTTTAGTCGTTCATGAATTACGTACATGAACAATCAAATTAAATGGAGCGTTGCAAGCCGGCGGTGTTGTTTTCGTCTAGTTTCAGCCCTTAATTTACGCGGTAAATGGAAGCAAACAGACTTTTCCTCGCATAGCAACGAAATCGCTCGTGTTCACGCACTCGTAATGCATGGATAGTCAACATGCATGAGAGAGTAAGGACAAGGAACGCAACCTCGTCACGCTTACCAACCTGCAACAATCGATCCTCTTTGCGGGTCCGAGTTCATAGGCAGTTCATTGAGGCCACTGTAATTCAGGAACGAAATGAGATGCACACTATCGTCGCGAAAACGAACAACAACCTGCCATATCGCCTTCGAGTCGGCCACAACATCCCCGAGGATGAATAATACCTCATTCGTACGTCAATTGTTTTAAATCCGTGCGGAAGATCGGTTCGATGTTGCCATCAGCGGTCAACATGCACGTTCTCTGGCGGTCAATAGGCTAGGTTTTAAATTATCTCCTAGACGCGATCAGTAGTCGTTACGAAGGTATGTGTACGAACAAACAAATTGCCCTAAACGTTGCAAGCCTTGAGCGTTTCAACCCTTGAGCGCCTATCAAACGACCTCACTTCCCTTAATTTACGCGGTAAATGAAAGCAAACATACCTTTCCTGGTGAAAAAATGAAACCGCACGTGTTTACGGACTCAGAATGAATGGATGGTCAACGTGCTTAGGTGATTAAGGCCAGATACAACATCGCAATGCCTTACCAACCTGCAACAATTGATCCTCCTTGCGGGTCTGAGTTCATGGGCAGTTCCTTGAGGACATTGTAATTTAGGAACGTTATGAGAATGCACACTATCGTTGCGGAAACAAGCAACAACTTGCCAGATCGTCTGCGAGATGGCCATAACATCCTCGTGAATAAATAGTGCCTCGTTTGTACGCTACTTGTTTTCAGCCCGTGCGGAGGGTCGGTTCGGGTTTGCCACCTGTGGGGTTAGGAACGACACAAACGAGGGAAAATAAGATTATCGCGTACCGCGGAAGATACAGAAAATGTAAATCACTCAGTATAAATTGATCCTTAAATTTTAATGGAGCTTACTCACATCTTACCTATCCTCTATTTTAACTTCTCGGTTTTGACTTTGCGCCTCCCACTAGGTACTATTCAAAGCCGCGTCGACAAAATTATATTGGATAGGACTAAGAAATAATGGACTACGGATCGGATCACTGGCAAGGTCACGCAAAAGTGTAAAAAATAAATCAGACTGAGAAACTATTCCGGATCTTGTTGAAAGGCTACATCACTTCCATTTACTTGCCCTTTTGACTATGTCATATTCTTTAAAATTCAATGTATGATCTTTAATGAGGATGCTCCACTCATTGAAACATGATTTTCACACTTTCTTTGTTCACTGACAAGATGAAATTGATAATATTTTCTGTAGGTCAACAAAATAAAAATTGCAAGAAATATTAAGACTTCATTTTCAAAGAAACAACCACAGAGGGATAATTACATCACAAATATCCGTCGTGATAAACAGAGACGCTGAAAGTTCTTCCTTTTCCATTGAATCAAAGAAGTCTGTTCATTACAAATTCAGCGCTGGAGATGAAGGTAAAAATTGTGAACAAGAGCAACCACTTATAGCGAGAGTGTGAAGAGGAATTTTTAAAGAAGATTTTGACTGCGTTAAATTAAAACTAAGATGCACTATTTTCCAAAAGAGGATTAGGCATAAAATGAATAAAGAGAGCGAACCATGAATGACGGAAAAAGATAGAGCAAATTTCGGAAGGACCCTGCAGAGAAATCAACTTGCGCAAAGGCAAACGCATATTCGTGGTGTTAACAAAGAAAGTGGAACATAGTTTGTGAACAAAATTAATTGTTATGGAAACTAAACGGCTGTATTAGAGCGAATCCACGATGAGCGATATCAAAGATACAAATTGATCATAACAAACGATAACAGGTTCGTAGGAACGAATTTGGAAGTGAGAGGACACATACTCAGCAATAAATGAGTAGACCCTCGTAGATTGTGCTGGCGTAATGTTTGAAATATTTTGAAAAAAAAAAGCGCATAATTTTTTCACTTTTACTGGAAGTAGCACTGCTATTTTAATCAGCATTTTTCAAGTTTTTGA